AAAATCATACAAAAAACTGTATTGATTAGTTTTTTAATATAGATAACATGAAATACTGATCAGTTCTAAAATTTCACGGAAAAGGAAAGTAGTTAGTCGTATATATCACAATTCGAACAATTGTATTTGTTTTATTTTTTCTAGCCGTTTTATTTGAACTTCGCAAAAAATATGTACAGGGCGTTCCAACGGAAACATGACCCCCTCTGTAAACCAGAAACGGACGTGTTATCAAAAATTTCAAAGAACACGTCGATTTTTATTTCTAAAGGGATTAAATCTGACATAGAAATCATACCTGAAAATTCACCCCCGGCGGTCAGCAACTACCCCCCCTATTTTTTTTTTCAATGGCATGAGGGTTCGAGTGATACATCATTTGAATGGTCTTTTGTCCTTCTATTACTTCTGTAATTTTTTTCGAAATTGTTTAATTCCTTATTGAGGAATTAAATGTCGAACGTTTTATTTAAGAAAAAAACAGAAAGTTCGCTATGGCTCATTTTATTGAGGAAATCAACAAAAGTAATATCAATGGCAACACAATCAACGGATAAAGTGTTCAAAATGACCTCCATCTAGTTCCATACAATAATAGTCTACTTTCGAAAACGTTCCGTACAATTCTCTGTCGCAGATCTTCTAGATTTGTAGCAACGAAGGTCCAATCGTTTTCTATTGGAAGAACCCTGGAGAGCCAAGACCAAAAAAAGCACGTCAATTTTGATCAAATATTTACGTTTTGCACACTATTTTCTTCAATTACGGTGGCGTAGTGCATCAAGACTTCTTGCCACATGGTCTTACGGTCAATAAGGAGTATTATCGTGAAGTTACGCGACGCTTGCGAGAAGGTTAGGCTAGGTCCAAAGTGAGTAGGTCTATTCGACCCTCCATCGCAACCCGCAAGGATTTATTGTGGCTCACACCTATTCACACTCGACCAAATAAATCCAGCTCCTTAACGAAGCCGATTAGGTTGTATGGTGAGCGGTCTTTCAGGTCAGATGGTAAGAGTACGGCTCTGCCGGACTCTAAAAACCTGATTCGGTCCTCAGCGGGGCAGGCACAAAGTATGTGCTCTGCATTGTCAACCAACAGTCTGTTGCACTCTACGTTGAATTGATTTGTATAATTGGCAATGTGCACAAGTAGTCTATATGCAGTCCATCTAGCCTCTCTCTCCAGAAAAATGTGGAGTGAAAGTAGATCTAGAAGGATTTCCATGGCCACCGACGGTATGGTAATGTTGGCACCACTGATGGCCAGACAAGCCAGTCTTTGTAAGCTAGAGAGCTTCGCCTGGGTCGTTTTCTGTAAAGCCTTTGGCCACCAGGCAATTGCACCATAAGTGATCATTGGTCTGACAATCATAACATAAATCCAATGGATTTGTTCGGTACTCAACCCCCAAGTTTTACCACAAATCCTTCGGCATGTCCATAGAGACAGTCTGGCTTTGTGTAAAACTTTTTCCAAGTGAGCGTTCCAAGTAAATTTTTTATCATGAACAATGCCAAGATATTTCACCTCCGTTCCAAATGGAATGACCTCACCATTGAGGGATTATCACAGTTTTGCTGGGGTTGACAGACATTTGCTCCATCAGGCACCTCAGGCACTAGGACTCTGAACAACGTCCATCGTGCTTTGGAAGATATTACAGGCTACCCTTCCCAATGTGGATCTTGCTTGCGAGAACAATACAAAGAAAACGTCCGATATTTTGGAAAAACAATCCATGGATTTTGCATAACGATAATGCACTTGCTTACTCGTCATTGATAGTTCGTAAGTTTTTGGCCAAAATAAATACCGTAATCATGCATCAGCCGCCGTATTCACTATATTCAGTCCGCTGCGACTATTTCCTGTTCCCAAGATTGACGAGATCTATGAAAGGATGGCGTTTTGCGACGATTGAGGAGATAAAAACGGAATCGCTGAGAGAGCTTAAGGACATACCAAAAAGTGCATATTAGAACAGATTCGAGAATTGGAAAAACGCTGGCAGAAGTGTATTAATCTGTAGGGGACTACTTCATTTTTTGAACAGACAGATATTGTCTCCCACCAATATATCGAATATTTTTCTTTGCTGACGATACCACACTTGTATGTTCATTTCATATGTATTTCAGATAAATTGAGAATTTTATCTCTTGAGAAAGATCTGGAGGAAATTTCGGCTTATGAAGACAATAACCAAGTAGAATGTATTACACTAGTTTTCTCTAAAAAAGCAAATGTGTCAGCATTGGAAATAATCATGAAAGGGTACACAATTTCGCTGATTGCAATGAATAATTTGTTGGGTGTCAAATGCAAGCACGTTGCAAACAGTGACAGTATTCTGGTAACTATTATTCAGGCTAGGTAGCCATGGTCTAACGGAGAGATGGCCTTCAAATCAAGAAGTCGCAACTCATTGTTTTGAACAACAATTACACATCTTCTAAATATCATATGTTACATATCAGTGTTATCAATGTTGAAACATCTTAAACATTTAGGAACAACAATTTTTACGAGAATATTGCCGATTCGACTGAAAAGTGATGAAGATACATTGTCTTCGACCCCGTAGATCAAATCGTTATAGCTAGAACAGTTGGGCTTGAGATTATTTTTCATCAAAGGGTCAGAAGTTACTGTATAGGAAAATCTCAGCTATTTCAGATAAACATCGGCGATCATTCATTGTATCACATTTGATCGAAATTGTTTGTAGCGAATCACAATCATAAAGTTACTATAGAAACGGCTAAAATCAATAACTGAAAAAGAGAAACAATTATTCAACTTGTATAAAGTTCTCCATTAAATTTTTTATATTTTTCAGATTGTGGAAGGTAACAAATACCCAAAAAAGGTCGAAAAAAAAACAATTAATAGTATAACTATCAAGATAAATCTATGCAATGAACAAACAACATGTTTGAAGGTGATTGACAATGTTTCATGATGAATTTCACTAGTTCGGACTTCCATTGTCTACTATATAAAATGATTTGAAATCCCTGAAACAACTAAAAAAGAAGAATTGAAAATTAATAGCTGAAAATAACAATTATATCAACCAAAATAAACCTGAAATGAAATAATAGTGTCCTTGTGTCAGGAACCTCTATACCCATCACGCGACTGCGGTAGACTAAGGTGTTGAATAAAATATTTTTTAACTTCTTAATTCCAAAATCCTGACAAATTAGTTTTGCATTCTGTCTGGTACAAAAATGAAGGTAGTGATGGAATTACTCCCAACTAATAGGTTGAGTTTTGTCCTTTTTAATTAAACGTGTTTTTGTAGCTTCATATCTCAAAAAATATTTCTACGGTGTGGTAGTATACACTTACTGATCGATAGAGAATTTTATACTCATAACATCGATGGTGTTGATATTTTTTTCAAATTTCAATACACTATATGATGTCATTGAGCAATTTTTTGCCAATTTTTCTGCCACTACTCGGTGTAGGTTTGCGAAATTTCGTGTCGAAGATTTTAGCGTCGAAGATGAGCCCCATAGTGGTATAGTCGAAGTAAACGATATTGTGCATATTTGAAGTTGGCGGCACTCTCAGAGGCCAAAAAAATCGGGGAATGTTATCGCCGACGTGTTCAGTTCAGGAACTGATCGCGATTTGAATGTTGAAATTCTATATTGGTGCAATTATAATTACTTTAATTTTTTGTTATCTGTTCAAGATGTGGCATCCTTGGAAAAGTACTAATGGTAATAACGGGTGTGATAACATAGCAGACTTTTTCCTGTGTAGTGATTCCAATAGCGATGGTGAACAATGCGAAAAAGAGATACCAGTGAATAAGATTCGAATGCATTTGAATATTGAAACACATAGAGTATGTTTTAATGTATATAAGAATGTGCATCTAAAGTTTAGTTTCGAGTGAAACAAACTATTACAAGTAACATCAGATTTGACCGAAATTCCTTTTTCAACTGTACGTAAAATAGTCAAAAACAAACCTTATGAACGCAAGACGCGATGTGATATAGGATGATCAAAACCTTCAGATGTTCATTTAATAAAATCGTTGAAAAAACAATACACGACTGTTACAAAAGCAATGAGATTTCTACAACTGGAATCATAAGGAAGAAATTGAATACTTCCGGCCATAATGTGAGCTGCTATGACAAAGCTCTTCGGATTTGGATAAAGAAACTAGGATTTAGATTCAAAATAATAAACAAACGTCAATCAGTTATAAATATCAGGAAAATAGGGAAATTACTTAACAAATACTCTTAGAACAAATAACTAAATACAGAACAACGGCAAATTTTTTATTTGGACGAAACTTGGTATGACACTCACGACACAGTTACGAAAGGGTGGATTGATGGTTCGAAAATGTGTTCGCCTAACATGCCTGCAAACAAAGGATCGCAACTAATCATTGTTCACTTATGATGCACTGTTTGGAACCTTTGGTGTGGTAATGAATATTACTGGAATTTTTTCCCACCCCCAATTGTTTTTTTTTACCCCTTGGCCCGTTTTTTGGTTCCCCAGTTGTTCTTTTTCAAAAGGGATGTTTAAACTTATTTTTCTTTTCCTTTGGGGTTTTTTTTGAAAGTTTTTTTTTTTTTTTGGTTTTTCATTCCCTTGGGTTTGTTTGGGAAAAATTGAAACAAAGTATCAAGCGTAAAAATAATTTTCCCAAATTCGATAAGAAGGGAATAGAGTTAATTAAAGAAATATCTAATAATCCCGAAGACTGGCAGAAAAGGATTAAAAAGGTTAAGACTATATGGAGATTGGATACTACCATATTAATGGTGGAAATTAATTCATTATTGATATAAATGACGACATTGATAGTGATGTGAGTAAGAAGTATTCAGAAGTATTTTCAATTGTCTAGTTGGGTGATTAAAATAAAAAATGTGTCCATGTTCAACGATAGCTGTGGGTATGGAGAAAACATTTCCAGTTGAATTAATTGGTTCTTATGTTCTTTCATATTTCAGGTCAGAGATCTAGTTGAAAAATGTACGTGTCCCACCCAATTCCCAATGATAAGAGTTTCTGAAGGAAAATATAGGATTGGAGATACAAAAGTTTTAATTTTTGTGAGGGTGAGTATGTTCTTCTTCTCTCTTCAGTGTACAATTAACCATTATGAAATCACCCTGCTTTTCAACCAGCTGGCCTTCAAGAATAACCCTCTGAAGTCTTCCAGAGAATGTTAACTATCATTTACCCCTCTGCTCTTCCAAGGGTATTTTGTTGCAATACGTAGTTTTCAACAATATATTATAGGAAAATAATGGATGGTTTACATAGTTGTTTTAGAGGAACTAAGATATTCAGAATATCATCTAAATAGTTTTCTTTTCTCTGGGTAGTGTAATTTGTAAATAAATGACAATGATTGATTGAACTTTGTCCTCATTTGTTATTTTTCACTCTGTGATGAAAATTTATACATTTCAACCGTCTACAGACTGAAGAAACAAGCTTAGTTAAGAATAATCTGAAAAGTCACTCTGGAGACTATAATTTCATCCAGAATCTGTTTAAACTTCGTAAAAACTTGGCAAAAAGAAATCCAAATATTTTCAAACGAAAAGAAGTGTTTCCGAAATGTGAATTTTTTTATCAGAGATACAAAAATGAGTATTTTTAGGGTATCAGACGCCTCCCGGCTGGCCCTGCACCTTGTGTCAGGAACCTCTATACCCATCACGCGACTGCGGTAGACTAAGGTGTTGAAGACACCATCCTGGCAAGCCATGATGATTCCCTCAGTTTCCGACTTCAACCTACTTGACCTCAGTAAAGAGAAAGTCAGGCGTGTTGATAAGCCAAGGTCTTCAATGTTGTTGAAGAAGACCCCATGCTTCGGCTTATATCTGTGCTGTGGCCCTTTTGCTGAACGAGTTCCAACTTCGTGACAAGAATTGTGATCCCCTCGTTCAATGTCGAAAACTAAACCGAGTGAATCACCCTGAGGGAATCGCCCTTAATACACCCCTTCTGAAAGTGACCCATCATGTTTGGACTATAGTCTGACCAGATGTTATGGTGAAGCCAGACTGGTATTAGTTGTTCAAGAGATCTAACTATTTCGTCGGGTACCGCAAGGCATTTGAGCAAATGCAAGATCATTTCATGCAATGTTAGCTGTAATCAATCCAGGTCATAGAGAGGTTACGCTTATATCGAGTCCTACGTTACACATCCACCGATGAAAAGGATCTCTTTACATCCAGCGACACCTCTCTTCGACCCTCTCTGCTCATATATCCTTCCGGACTCAACTGCGGTGAGTATTCGTGTGTGTGTAAGATGCTCGTAAAGAACTTATAACACGAGTTCAAGAATGTTATCGGTCTGTTATTCTTAGGAATCGACCAATCACCGCTTTTGGGGATGAGACCATTCCGCCCCTCGATAAACCAATCCGGAATCGGCTGCTCTCCGTCCAGCCATGAGTTGAAAACTTTGGCCAGATGACGGTGTGTACTTGGTAGTTTTTTCACCAATAAGTGTTCAGCCCATCTGTGCCTGCTGAACGCTCCGAGCTACAATATGACTGGAGTTTCTAAGTTGAGTGGCTACGAGTGTTTCTAGATGTCCTTTCAGAAGGACTCCATCTGATCAGCGGTCGGTGGATTATACACAACACGCGAAGGCTCTTGGAACAAGCGAAAGGGTTTCTCGCTGAACGTGAGGTTTTTCGCGAAATTTCTCGCTTGCCTCACTAGTGACTTCTCAGTGGCCACTAGCATTCGTATCCTATCAAGGCAGTGCTGTTTGGTGGTCAACAGCACTCCTTGACTCAAAGTCTGATGGATACGTCGTAGTTTGGCGATTATTCGCCGCACTGCGGCCTGAAAGGACAGTTGGCCGCCCTTTAATTCGCCACAAACTGGATACGAGTTGCGTGATGTCTCGCCAAAGTGATCTTATTCTCCATATTGTGTACACGCCGTTCAATCTTCCTAACCGCAAGGCCAAGATTTCTTCTTTCCAATTTGGAAAGCGATTGGAGGACGCTGTACAAAGCGGTGTTAATTTGCCAGATATCAGTCTTTTCTGTTATAACACTATGAACGTCCATTATTAACATTTCTATTTTAATTATTATTTCAGTGTCATTGCTTTTCGAGTTTGAAAGCCGTGGATTTTTGGAATTTCTTCCTGGCGTTTCGCTGGCGCGAGTGGCTAGCTTTTTCAGAGGTTCAATCATCATGGCTTGCTGTCCGATTACTACCTTCGTAAAGCGTATTTATATATGTACCTGTATTTGTACCTGTACTCGTACCTGCTCTTGTACCTGCAGTCGTACCTGCACTTGAACCTGAAACATTAACAATCTCGCTGCCTGTTGTCCTGTTCGTTACTCTCGAATTCTTTAAAATGGGGTTCCATATTCGATTGAGGTTCACCGCTTCTACTTTTCTGTTGAAATTCTCCGTGTGTTTGTGGATCTCTATTGCCTCCCGTACCAGTCGGCTATGATATCACTGGTTGGGGGCAATTAGGGATACCATAGCCGACTGGTACGGGAGGCAATAGAGATCCACAAACACACGGAGAATTTCAACAGAAAAGAAGAAGCGGTGAACCTCAATCGAATATGGAACCCCATTTCAAGGAATTCGAGAATAACGAACAGGACAACAGGCTGCGAGATTGTTAATGTTTCAGGTTCAAGTGTAGGTACGACTACAGGTACATATACAACGGATTACCTGACAAAGCATAAATACGCTTTACGAAGCCTAAAAGGTAGTCACCGGACATCAAGCCATGATGGTTAAACCTCTGATGAAGCTAGGCAAACGCACCAGCAAAACGTCAGGAAGAAATTCCAAAAATCCACGGCTCTCAAACTCGAAAAGCAATGACACTGAAAACCTCAGCCGTGAAAGTCCAAACCATTTTGTCATAATTATTATTATATGTTAAAGACAACCTTGATCTCAACTTGAATTAAACAGTCACATTAACATTTGCAATAGTGACCGGTGCGGTGCTTGAATGGAATATGACCGCCTGTTGACGGTATTTTTTTTTAATTTATGAAAATTTTGTTGAGGTAATGAATTGAAACCTTATTTTACAAATTCAGATTCTACGAAATCACGTTATGGTGCGAGTAGGCGGAGGCTGGGATACCCTAGCCCATTACTTAGACAAACATGATCCTTGCAGATGTCGAAGTCAGCATAGGACGACCCAAAGCGCCAAACTCGTGAATAAGCCTGGAGCAGCAGATCTACATGGATCACATGTATACTATGACAGGTAATATGACCGATTGAACATTTATGACATAACAGTTGGGCTAAAAACTCGTCGGATAACATAGAGTTTTTTTGTTATAGAATTTTTTTGTATTATTTAATATAGTTGCCAACCAGAGCGACACAACAATTCTAGCGGTAATATAATTTTTTGATACCATTTTTATAGAACGATTTGTCTTTAATCTCAAAACAGGCCTCAGTTTCGACGATCACCTCTTCATTGGCGCTGAATTTCTTTCCAGCGAGCATTCTCTTATAATAATAATAATAATAATGGTTCATTATTTACTAATACATTACTTTAAAAATCCATGAGATAACATAAACATACTAAATGAATGGATTAAGTTTCGAGACCAGTTCTTTTATATAAAACATAAAACGTACTGAATTATGTCCGATTTAATTATCTTGTCCCATTGATATATTCGTTAAAATTGTTCAACTTAATATTTTGATGGAAAAATAGAAAGTCTATATGAAGTTTTTCTATAACCTAATCTCTCTTGAAGGCAAGTAACTAATTATCAATGGTTTTTCATAAATATATAAGAGTTGCTGATGATTGTAAAGAGTTTTCACTGTACAAAATAAAAAAAAATGTGATTTCGGTGAAATGGAAATGAATTGTATTTTGGATGATATTTTTTTCGGTGTCTGGAAAGAAACTTTCATGTTTTTTTTTTTTTCCTTTGGATTATTTCTTGTGGGGTCATGTTAAGGCTCATATCTACAGGGATAAACCAGCAACGACTGACGCTCTGAAAGCCAATATTGAAGCATTTATACGTGAAATACCGGTCGATATGTTAGAGGGAGTGTGCCAAAATTTGACCTTGCAACATTGAATTATATTGATCGTTCTATCGATTCCAATAAAGATTTCATCAATTTTTTTCAAATTTTTTGTGTAGTTTTCAAAATCAAATCCTATAACTTTTAAAAAATCACAATAATGGAAATGCCGTGTGAAGTAATATCTTCTCAAATCTACTAATATTTTTAAACGGTGAAAATCAGAATCTTTTCCTGTGTCCTGTAAGTGCAATGAACGATAAAAAATAATCTCTCGCAAGCAGTTTTTCATCATGCCAAACAAAGAAGTATTTTCATGGCATTCACACAAGTAGATATTTTCCCTAATCAATTTCTAAGAAACGATTTCTAATAAATTTATTGCATCATCCTCTGATTATGATTGTTTTTACAGAACACCGGCACAATACCCAGAACATACCCCCCATGTCAACGGCGCCCTGAACGGCCCACAATCTCTTAGTCCACCGATGAATGCCCTCAACCGTTCGAGGTCTCGTTCGCCATCCAGGAGGCCTCTCAGTCCGAATTTTTCCAGGATGGCACTTGCTCCCCCCCAGATCCGGTCCAGAAGTCCTACTCCTAATTATACTTCGAATCTTAGCACGAAACTCTCTACCAGTCGGAGTCCCCAACACAAGAACTATGGCCCGCAGTCGTTGCCGGTGATGGCTGCAAAGCCTAAAAACGTTGTTAGTTCCATACACATTCCAGTGGATTCGAAGGTGAGTCAGGTTAAATAAATCAGTACTGAAAAAATATTGATTTAATAAATATTTTCGAACCAAAATACCACATACCATGGACCATATCAATGGTATCAATAATATTGGACACATGTATATTCCATTTGTTGTTTGAAAACGTTTCTAAAAAATATTTCAACATATTCCTTTTGTCATGAAAAAAGACGAAAATGTAACATTACTCTGTCCTGATACTATAATTGAATTTTACTGCTCTACTGCAGAAAATATGAGTAAGAATATTGCTAGCCCATATGATCCATTAGTGCATCCTGAAAATTTTGGCGTGGATGAGAACCTGTCTCTGTATGACACCAACATTAATAAATTAATTGAAATCATGATGGATATTAAAAACAAAAATACTGCAGGATGGAGGCAATAGAGATCCACAAACACACGGAGAATTTCAACAGAAAAGAAGAAGCGGTGAACCTCAATCGAATATGGAACCCCATTTCAAGGAATTCGAGAATAACGAACAGGACAACAGGCTGCGAGATTGTTAATGTTTCAGGTTCAAGTGTAGGTACGACTACAGGTACATATACAACGGATTACCTGACAAAGCATAAATACGCTTTACGAAGCCTAAAAGGTAGTCACCGGACATCAAGCCATGATGGTTAAACCTCTGATGAAGCTAGGCAAACGCACCAGCAAAACGTCAGGAAGAAATTCCAAAAATCCACGGCTCTCAAACTCGAAAAGCAATGACACTGAAAACCTCAGCCGTGAAAGTCCAAACCATTTTGTCATAATTATTATTATATGTTAAAGACAACCTTGATCTCAACTTGAATTAAACAGTCACATTAACATTTGCAATAGTGACCGGTGCGGTGCTTGAATGGAATATGACCGCCTGTTGACGGTATTTTTTTTTAATTTATGAAAATTTTGTTGAGGTAATGAATTGAAACCTTATTTTACAAATTCAGATTCTACGAAATCACGTTATGGTGCGAGTAGGCGGAGGCTGGGATACCCTAGCCCATTACTTAGACAAACATGATCCTTGCAGATGTCGAAGTCAGCATAGGACGACCCAAAGCGCCAAACTCGTGAATAAGCCTGGAGCAGCAGATCTACATGGATCACATGTATACTATGACAGGTAATATGACCGATTGAACATTTATGACATAACAGTTGGGCTAAAAACTCGTCGGATAACATAGAGTTTTTTTGTTATAGAATTTTTTTGTATTATTTAATATAGTTGCCAACCAGAGCGACACAACAATTCTAGCGGTAATATAATTTTTTGATACCATTTTTATAGAACGATTTGTCTTTAATCTCAAAACAGGCCTCAGTTTCGACGATCACCTCTTCATTGGCGCTGAATTTCTTTCCAGCGAGCATTCTCTTATAATAATAATAATAATAATAATCGGCTTCCAGAATAATAAAAATAAGCACGATGCTATTTTCTCATTCCTGAATAATGTTTATTCTGAAATAAATGTCGGTGAAAAGACTGCCGCAGTATTTTGTAACATGTCGAAGGCATTTGACTGCGTTGATCACAAAATACTGCTGAGAAAGCTCCAACGTTATGGATGCAGAGCAGTAACTCTCAATAGGTTCGATTCCTACTCAAAGGGACGGAGACAAATGATCAAAACAACTCAACTTTAACAAAAAAAGGGGGAAATTAATCCTGGAGTTCCACAAGGTTCTGTGTTAGGTCCCATTATTTTCTTATTATATATCAATGACCTCACCAAGCTTATTATTTCTGGGAAGTTCACCTCATTTGCAGATGACACTACCATACTTTGGAAGTCTTAAAACACTTGTGTCAAAATAATCTCTGCCGACTTGAAAAAAGCTGAAGATTGGTGTAATTCAAACATTTCATCTTTTGAATTAACTGAAACAAATTTAATATCATTTATATACTCGATCAACGAACTTTTTTTTGGAGGACAAATCACTGGAATCTAAAAACAACACTAAATTTTCAGAAGTGTTCATTGACCAGAATTTAAAATTTGTAGATCATGTTAAACAACTCACTAGCAAAGTCTCCTCTGGCTGTTATGCGGTTAAAGTGATTTATAAAGAATTGGGGTTCAGCACTGCAAAATGGCGTACTATGCACTTATAGATTTTCACTTACGCTACCATTTCGGGAAGCATGCAGTCCAACTTTATTTAAAAGTCTACTCATTTCACAGAAAAGGGCAATAAGGTATATAGGAAACCTTAAACCAAGAGACTCCTGTAGAACCTTCTTCAAAAAAAATAATATTCTAACGATAACTGCATTATTTATACTGGAATTTGTGTGTTTAATAAATGAGCATATATTAAATTTTGCTGCATCCTCTTTCCATTATAACACCCGAAACAGCAGACACTGATAGACACTAGTATACTTTGGATGAATATTTTAACGATAGCTTACTACGATAGCTGACATACTCAAATTTTATATCTCCCTTAATTAGGGAGCGCCTAAGTTGTTACTTTTTATGTCTACTCTTTTATAAACTTGACTTTTACTCTTTTATATATGCATATCTTTTATATCCTCCATTTTAACATAGTTTGTATTCATGCGACATTTTTATTTTTATTTTCATTTGGTATGTTTTGCATTTTTTTTAAGTATTTACTACCCAAGCTTTATCTACAAGATTATGTCTTATGATTAGAAAGCATATTATTATTATCAAATGGTGGAAATTGGTGAGGATGCAATAGAGGGGCATGATATTTATGGTAACGTGAAGAAGTTCAAGACTCGGAAAAGTTGAGAAAGATTCGAATAGGAAAATGGGTCGCTCTTTAAGATGCAGAAGATATAACAGTGTGGAAATTGTGGAAAGGTTCATTTTTGTGAAAATATTCATCATTTGTTGAAGATGTTCCGCAATCCATTGCAAAAGTGATTATAATCTCTTACTGCGGAAATAAGAAAGATATAGCGTGAGAGGAGTTGCTTCGAAATAAATGAAGTCCTATCTAGAAAACAGAGTGACTGGTGGTATAAATATAAATTCTTGCACCTATACCACGGTTTGTTCATGTAAAAGACGATGAATCACTTCTATGATCTGTCCCACTCCATGTGATGGTATAACGACACAAATGTTCTCATTAATAAATTACAAATATACTTGAACCATTTACGTTGAAACACTCTGTGGTGATCTGAGAAAGTAGAAATGGGTTTAGAAATATAGAAATACTCACAGTAATGTGAAACATACATTTTCAACCCAGCGACATGATTATATACTACTCGCTAGAGATTTTCTGATGACCAACAATGTATACTGGTGTACTTTATATGAGTCCAATATTTTTCAATAACCATCTTCTGGTACATCCTGTCTAGCAGCCATTATGGTGTAGTGAAGAGATTTCAGTTGATTGGCCGACATTGAGGTTGTTAGATGTTCAAAGTGCAATATTCTCACCTAAACGTCCGCAGCACCCTTCCAATCTGAGGGCATCTATTGGTCAGCTTTCTTAGTTTGGTTTTAGCTTAAGCCTTTGCTGACCTGTTCAGGGAGAGTTTGTTTCCTTTCCTGTCATAGAGTCTACTTCTGCTGATAAATACTTTGGTGCAAGGCAGATTCATGTTAAATCCTGCTCTTGAGAAGGCGATAAGTACTTTCCTTGCTGTACCACCTAGCCTCCTAGGTTTGAAGACAGGATAAAAAATCATAGAACTGGCAAAAACTTTTGCTCTTGATCTGATGTTAGAAGAAGGGCAGTTAGTGTCTTTTGATAGACGTTCATACTCGGGGTCGAGTTCTTTGATTACTTCAGTATCTCACCGCCAGTGACTCTGAGATGCAGTTACACTCATTAGGGCGTTATTAGGGGGTTTTTACCTCCACGGAAGACTCCCCTTCCAGTAAGGGTATTCTAACCCCATTGCAGGGTAGTAACTTCAACACTTTCACTTTGTTGTATAAAAATATTTCAGAGCAATTTTATACTTTTCAATAAGAAAAATTAATACTGTTACTATCAAAATTATTCTGAAAAACATATCTTTCAAGTTCTTTATAAAACATTTTTGTTTCAACAATGGCTTGAAGTAGTACATCTGTTCATGAGTGTTATGGAGTACCACATGGTTTATTTTAAAACTTCCGCAATCTCAATATGAAAGACACTCACAATATTGCCTAAGAGCAAATGTAGACGTCGTAGAACATAAAAAATAGATAGGATTTCAATCAAAAATCCAATAATATCGGTGTTATCAGAATGTGCCTACCTGAACCAAGAAGTTTCATAACTGCAACTGCTACAACTTTTTCTCTGATTCACTTCACAAGAGAGCTTATCCTATGTTAGTTCAACAACTTGATATCCAAAATGATGTTGAAACAAAAGACGTTCAAGCTTTTTTCAATCTCTCTTGAGTTCCATTCGAAACGGTAAACCATTCAGAATCTTCGGTGGGAAATTGGAGAGAATATTCATGAAACATGTTTTTATTTTATAGGTGTTGAAATCTGAAGTTAGTCTACATGTAAACGATACCGACCACAGCGATACCACATCAGAAGTTTCCGATGAAGGATATCGAAGTTTGGGCATAATTCACGATAAGAGTAAACAACGATCATCCCTTTACAGTCAGAACTCTGCTGAGGATGCGGAAGATACAGGTGAGTCCTAACATTCTGAAAACCTGCTCGATAACTTCTTTGAATGAAAAAATTTGATTGAAGATCTCTATGAGTCTATGACTAGAATGTTCAGACCTGCCACTTTGTGTTGTGGACAATGGTGTGAGCTATCGGGTGTTGTAAATGGGATGGATTCTTAAAATTTCATCAGTTTTGAAACAAACTTTGACTTTTCTCGTAATAAGTTTTATTAATATTTGAACAACTGAACAACTGGATACAATAGTTACAAAACAAATCAGAAAACAAAATTATTCATATAGGGAGAGAAAATAGTAACATCAAAATAATATCATAAACAATTCCAACATTCTCCCCCATTTTGCAATCTAATTGCAAAATTATTCCAACCCAAAACGCTTCGGTATCTGCACTCTTCTTCCAGATCTTGTTATGACTTGTGATGAAGCCGTCGTATCTTGGTGTCTTCTTTCATATTCATTTGCTCCCTCTTTATCTTCTCCTTGCTGTGTTACATTTTCATTATAAATGCTATTGTTTTCTCCGTCTTGATTTTCATGAGTTCTTCATAATTTATAAATAATTTTCCCAAATTACGACGCAATAGTTCCTTTATAATTCTGACTATTCGCTCCCACCATGGGAGAATGTTTCTTTGAACATATCAAACACATAATTACAGCTCCACAATTCTTACTAACGTGACTCAATTTTAAACAAGAAAAAAATCCACGTTTTTTCATTATTCTACATTTTCTTTCATCAATTGAAACACTTTGAGCTTTCAAACAATCCTTCTTTGCATGTGAATTCAAATCGCTGAATAAACAATTATTTCCTTTATCTTTTAGATAATCTTTGGGATTAGCTACGTACAAAGCAGCTGCTGTGTATAATTCGGGCTCACCTTGCTTTAGAAAATATTCATCCTTACTGGCATGATATTTGTTGTGCTCGTGTCCTTTTCCAAATCCTTTTTGTGCCAAATTTATCTGTTCTTCTGACTCGACCTCCATTTTCAAAAAACCAAATAACATATTCAAATAATTAGTACCTTTAGAATTTTCATTATCATCCTTCTTATTTCGTTGATCAAAATCACGATATCTTTCCCAAGTTCTTAAAACTTCTGCAGGCAAAGTGCTGGTGGGGTTGGGAAAATTGGGATTCCCTCCCCCCCTTGTCTTTCTTTTCGCTACGGCCCTGCTGTCAACACACTTTTTAAACAATGGAAGTTAGGACTTCCATCGAGAAACATCATCAACAACTTCAAACAATCGATAACCATTTCAAACCAAAAACACCTCCTGACAATGGAGTAAGAGCAGTATGAAATACTGTCTTAAGTAAGATATTATGAATGATTTACATAGTAAACACTGAAAATAAATTGAATCGATTTAAATTCAACGTGAATCGCAAGTATTTTCCTGTAGTGCTTGTGTTCTGTCCTTAAAAAAATAATCAACTTCAACTCCTTCTTTGCAACTTTTTACTTCAATGGTTTCATACAAATAAACAAACTTTCAATTTTCAAAATCCTCATCTTATATGTTTATTTCTCATCCCAGAGCATCAAGTATACACAGAGGATGATCTCAACGAATTTGGATTGAGAAAAACTCAGTTTTCACAAAGAATTTATGAGTGTGATGGAAAACCAAAGCCAGAAATGAACCACCAATCTATGGAAAAACTCTTCGAATCTCCAACCTTATCACCAGACTCTTCCAACAGGATACAAAAAGAAAAGTCGTTCCTTAAATCAAAAGAGGCACTCCACGCCCGAAAAAAGCCATCTAGTCGTACCAACAGTGCAGAACGAAACAAAGAAGTCCAGAATATGGCTAAGAAAGCGATGTCTCAGATAAAGAAGCCTGATTCGAAAATCAGTACCTGGAGTGGTCGCCCCAGAAATACGAGAGCCAGCCTCGCCCCAGATACCTTTGTATCGCCTTTTGCCAGAAACTCTACAGGTAAGGCACTCAGATCGTAAATAATGTGATACATAAACTTTCGGATCTGATCACGTTTTGGAAAATGATCTGCACGTTTTTAGGTAATGCAAAAAAAACGTGTATTGCAGTCTCCAGTAACAATTATTGTGAATTTAATTTTTTTAGTACAAACATTGATGTGTTTTTTCCATCAAATTAAAATCATCATCACCATGGATACGGTCTACTTCAGTGCCGGTGGCATTGAAGTAATAGCTTTTACTGTCACCGGCATAGGTTAGGTTAGGTTAAGTTAAGTTAGGTTATACTTCTTGCCTATACTTCTATAAAATAGGTATGTGTGTTTCTTAATAACTAAAACGAACCTATGCCCTTTAGATCGTTATTATTGAAGTAGTGGAATTTGATTTAAATTGAGAGGGGTATATTTTTAGGAAAGACCAATTTTTGAGAAAGAAGGGTTTCGGCTTTCTACTTCTCCATCTTTATACAAAAAAATGTGGGAATCTCCTAGAGAAAGAAAGAAAGCAATTAATTTCAAAATAAAATCTTCACAAAGATGTGTAGATCATGCAACGAAGGAACTTTCAGACACAAACTGAAAAAACCTTCTCGAAACAGCTACTTCCATTTAAACATTGATTTGCATGAAAGAAAAAATATATTCGAAACAACTACTTTTATATGAACATTGAATTATACAAAAACACATTTTCCTATTCAGTTTGTACTCCAAACACTCGTTGTGGAATTGAATCAGATATCATTCACAGGATTCCTACACAATATAGTAAATAAACGAGGTAAAATTTCACTTACACGGAGCACTGACATCTTCTATATCCGATGTTTCGGAGTAGGAAACTTGCCTTATTGTCTCTTCAGCACCAAATATAGATAACATTCCAAGATAAAACACTCAATAAATCCATTGAATTACGACCCATGTCATCGATAACAGTACGTAATGACATTGATGTATGTGATGAAGATTCTTTTGAAACAAAAATTCTTGTGAAAACATTTTCTGCTGAACATAATTTTCCATTTTCTGCTGAACATAATTTTTCATTTTTGTCAGAGCGGGATTTGTCCTGAATTGTTTCGAATAGAAAAATGATAGGCAACCACTTTTAAGAAATTCCGCATTCCCTTTTGAGCTCTTCCGATTTTTTTTTATGACGCCAGTTTTGGATATTTTCATTGAAGATTAAAAATATTTCAATCTGTTTGAAACGAAGAATATTTTGTTTTGTAAATGTAGACTACATTAAGGGCTTACTGACGTTAGTACACACAGTGGTAGCACCATATAGAAAATACATTACAAATACTCGTAGGTATCTTATGTAGTATAAATGTATATGTTTAGATTTTTCAGAAAAGTTATCATGTTTTTATGTTACATTTTTCGGAAATTTTTCATATATCGTTTGGAATTTCGTTGATTAGTCTTGTAGCACTAAAATATATATTCTAGTGCTTTAAATTAAATCGAAGCAGGGATCAGAGCGAATTGAAAAAAAATTGTTATATTGATCAAATAGTTTCAGAACTTGCTACATATTTACCTAAATTGCTTGGTTTTCATATCTTCATTTTTATGAGAGTATTGATTTTTTATTTCTGTAAACTATCTCTGTTGAAATCATGATAGGATTAATAATGTTAAGTTCCATTCCCGCTCGCCAGAACAAAGTTCGGCTACCCCCACATACTGATCATTTATTTATTTATTCATTACTTACTTATTTATTTACGGCATTGCTTATTTTCACAAAATGATTCACACATATGTACTATAACTATCAGCTAGATGAAAGAAAAAAATTTTAAAAAAAGGCAAAAATAACCCAATCGATTACAATCTTTTTAAATGATTTCATAGAAGAATTAAAAAATTGTAAATCCACATTGTAAGTGTTTGCAAGTCTCAAAATTCTACCTATAGACTCAGTCAGGCCATAGTTGATATGATGAAAGGGTATTTTTGGGAAAGAAAGTTTTAGGCTTTCTACTACTCCATCTTGATACAAAAAAAAGGATGAGGGAATCTTGCAAAGAAAGGAAGGTAGTAATCAATTTGAAAATAAGTAACTATACATAGATGTGTAGATCATGCAAACAAGTAACTTTCAGACACAAACTGAAAGAAACTCCTCCTGAAACAGCTACTTTCATATAAACATTGAATTACACGAAAGAAAAAAATTCTTTCGAAACAAATACTTCTATAACTTTTTCGAGATCAATTGCCCTAACACCAAACTGATATTTTTGCACTCCGACGCGCGTTTCGCCAACAAAGTTAGCATCCTCAGGAACCAAAGGTTCCAATCTCATTGTTAAATACTTCTATATGAACACTGAATTATACAGAAGATACTTTTCTTCACTCAGTTTGTATTTCAAACATTCGTTGTGTGATAAAATCAGATATCATTCACATGAGTTCTACTTTGAATGAATGGTAACAAATTGCACTTACATGGAACACTGTCATCCTCACTGGTATACATCTATGTTTCTTTCGAAACAAATACTTCTATATGAACACTGAATTATACAGAAGATACTTTTCCCTACTCAGTTTGTATTTCAAACATTCGTTCTGTGATAAAAATCAGATATCATTCACATGAGTTCTACTTTGAATGAATGGTAACAAATTGCACTTACATGGAACACTGTCATCCTCACTGGTAAACATCGATGTTTCGCCTTAAGACACTTGCCCTTAGGCTCTTCAGTGCCAAATTGGATAACATTATAGAAAATACACATAATTCATTCAAACTGAGTAGAGAAAAGTATCTTCTGTATAATGCAGTGTTCATATAGAAGTATTATAATCTTCTATGGGCCAGAGTATTCATTTTCATCAATATGATATCCCAGTTTATATGCAGAGTACCTTAAAAACTTGTTTTAGACACTTTGAAGCATACCGATATCCACATTATATGCAGGCACCAAATTGTGGAATTATATTCGATCATTTATCTAACAATTGTACAATATGTGATTTTTTTAGGAAGAGAGGGATATTTCCTTCACAAATCTAACAGTGAACATTTTTGATGCTCTAGAAGTAGGGAATAGAGAAATGAAAATTTCCATGTTTTTTACCACTTTTATAGAAATTATCATTTCTCTTTTCATTATGATTTCCTACCACGTAATAACGGCTACATCCATCAATTTACTCTAGAAGTAACATTTGCAATATGGGGTTTGAATGACATTTTTGGGTCAAGAGTGATTCCTATAGATCTTTGATTGTATTTGTTGTTTCCAGTTCCGATGATTGATTTTATATGGTTAGGTTAGGTTCAGAGTGAGTGATGGGTCTATTCAACCCTCCATCGTAACCCGCAAGGGTTTATTGTGGCTGACACCTATTCACACTCGACCGAATAGATCCAGCTTCTTAACGAAGCCGATTAGTTTGTATGGTGTGTGGACTTTCAGGTCGAATGGTAAGAGTACGGCTATGCCGAACTCTAAAAACCTGATTCGGTCCCCAGTGAGGCAAGCACAAAGCATGTGCTCTGCTGTTTCATAATTTTCCAAACAGAGACGACACACAGTGTCTTCCGAAAGTCCGAGTATCTGCATATGATGATTCAAAGGACAGTGACCTGTAAGAAGGCATGTTAGACATCGTAGTTCATCCCTACTGTAGTCCAACAACGGTTTGAAATCAAGCTTCGAAGGGTGAATAAATGCCTTGGAGTGACCCAATCTTGGAAGAATCTGCCAGAAGTCCATAAATCTTCTTGCCATCCAGGTGTTCAGTGTTTGTTTGGCAAAGCCCAAAGCGATGCCAATGATAGATTTTGGTCCAATGAAGCCGCTTGCAGCACCCTCCTTTGCAAGAGACTCATGCAGAGACAATCTGTTCAGCCTTCCTATTGAGGAGAGTCGTTTTTGGCATTTTGCTACCAATTTAGACATTGCTCAGTAGGAGCCAAGAGTTGCCAACGCCGCTTGAATGTCGGAGAATATTTTTATTTATATTCTTCCAAACTCTCTGCATACAATTTAATAGCGTAAATTTCCGCTTGAAATACAGTTGCCTAAGTTCTTAGGCAGGTAGATATCTCTGTATATGGACTATTTAAGGTATTTTTATTTCAGAAAAAAGTTAATCTGTAACCTTCGTCTATATTCAATTGCAATTAAGTTTATATCACACGAGCGTAGAAAGCTAGTTAAATCGTATGGTAATAATCGTCGTTTCGAGATATATCATTAAGAAATCATGGCATATACGGAGTGGATTCCACCATTTTCATCACAATACATTACAATTCTATAAAGATCAATTATTACATTCCGATCTTTTGAAATTATCGATTTAACAGTAACACTATCTATGATAATGATCAAACAATTTTTGCTAACGCATCTAGAATAAAAAAAAATGATTAAATTGTTCAATTATTGACATGGATAGTGTTTAAATTTTCATCAAGTAACGGGTCAGTGCAATCATAACGATAACAATGGAAAAGAACATTTTCTCGTGACAGTGAATATAAGCTCTCAAATTGTTTTCAGGCAGAAGAAGTGTTTCGGCAGTAGACAGACGTCCTTCGTCTGCAAACACTTCTCCCACCAAAGGTAAGCTGAAGCAAGACGTTCTGCAAGCTGTACAGAAAACTAACGACGATGAAATGATAGCAATAGAATTACAAGCTCTACTGAAAAAATATGGTAGCTTAAACATGCTAAATGACGAGGAAGATTATAGAGGACCGCAATTCGCTAGAACCACTCAAGACCGGATGTCTTTCCGAAGTCCCAGAAAAGATTCAAGACCTGAAAATAATTTGTCTAGAATACCAGCACCGGTGATTCAGACAAAATCGTAATTTTTACGTTTTTCTGCAGTGTTCAAACGAAAAATTTGAATGGAAATGATTCAAAATATCAACATTCTTCATTTCTCAATAGGCAACGAATATCTCAATACTGTTTGAGATATTTTTATCACTTCTCAAGAATAGGAGAATTTAAAATCAAATATTCAAATCTTTCACACTGAAAAAACCTCATAACGATCAATTACTACATTCCGATCTTTAAATTTATCGAACTAACAGCAAATATGTAAAAGACGTGGCATTGAATTTGAGCTTTCAAATGGATTTCAGGCAGAAAGTGTATCGGCCGTAGACAGACGTAGAAAAATGAACAATTAAGTATCCTAAGAAAATTTAGGGGGCCAATGGAGAGAATTTTTTTTAAATCGCAAAATTTTTAAAAATTGATATTGAAAACCGTTCACTTTATATGTAGGCAGTATACAAAAATGAAGAATGTTGATTTCATAAACTTGAATGCTTGTGATTTATAAATATATATTTAATTCATCAGTAAGTGGACATATCTATTTATATGGATGAAAAAGATATACATGATATTTTTAATCACCTAATATGTTTCTTTGTTATCATCAATACACCACCCCGGAATTAACTTTCTGATTTTAAATATTATTCTGAATGAATTTTGTATAACTGGAACTGGATTGGAAACTAAAATAATATAACATGTTGAAGTTATATTTTAATTTCTAGTACTTCTTCACATATCAATTATTTTCTGACTACAAATATAAATGAATCCATTAATTGATCTATTTAATAATTCTTGCTGATAATGTAGGTATAATTTTGTACAATAATTGTCTTCAATATCATTCATTATTGACTTCTTATAAGAATTTCAGAAAAACAAATATCAATTTTAGGAAGTATCTCAAAAACGTTATTGGAAAAAACGTGAGTAGCTTCAAATGAATATTTTTTTGTGTAATACAGAATTTGTAAAATCAGAAAGATGTGATCAACTTCTAGAAATTTCGGGGGAATAATTTCAGACAGATTGAATTGATATACCTATTTGATTGTTCATCATGTATTACTGCGTTGATAATTTTACTCATATGAGTGTATAACTATGAATGCAATTATTACATATAATGCTACTTCTGATTGACATAACTAATAAATCAAATCAGCAATGTGCCGGTAAACTATGTTAAACATATATTTCATATTTATGGTACTACTTAGTGTAATTCATGAAATGAATGCGATGATGGGCAAAATCAATCCAAAATACTAATCAGGGTATTTTGTATTTGAAAAAAAAATTTGTATTTGTATGTAAATAAATGTAAACATAAGTTTCTCAGTTTGATATTTTATCTTATCTTAGTATAACTAGGCTAATAGACACCGAGAAATTATTTTAATTAAAATTTATTGTTCCAGTTTTGGAACTAATATTTTATTAGATTTTTGTAAAGTAGTAGTTTTCTGAAGATTCAGTTATGATGCATCAACTTATCACAAAGAAGGTATTTTTGTAATCGAAGAAAACAACCTTATTTCTTTCCACAGAGAAATTATCATCAAACGAGACTACTTGAGAAGAGACACTTTGATATGACTGAATTGAAACAGAGAACTCATGCTATGGTATTATATAACTAACCAGTAGTTATATCAAATAATAAACAAAATTTATCAAGGACTAATGTTTTTTTATTATTATCATGTTGTATATATGTGAAAATTCAGAAGTTAGAATTAATGTCAAGCTCTGATTTGAAAAATTTTTACAGGATATCGAAACAATTTTCTGAATTGAATGCCATCTACAAGTCAAATACAAAAACAAAATACAAACATCGCTGTCTTGTAGAAAATAAAAAGACTTTGTTTTATCAAAATAGAATATCTAACACCAACAACTTGAATAATACGCTATGACCCATAGTCAAGGAATTAACCAGCAAAGGTAATTTTCTGAATATTTTTTTGTTTCCGTTGACGGTGGAAAGCTTATACAGGGTGGGCCATCGAAAACTTGACATGGAGGTTTTGGGTACTAATCTTGCAAATCCGAAAAAACGCTCAGAGAGGTCGATTTTTATTGGGAGGAGGACAGTTTTTCCTCATTTACAGCGACGTCACTTCAACCCCGGAGTAGAGGAGTGAACAACCCTAGGAATTTTAATAGGGAATAGGGGACGAGACGCACATCGTTTGAAAGTTCTTGTAATTCTCTAAACAATGGTGTACATTTTCAAATTTGGACGTATTTAAAAGAGTTCTTTCCGATTATTAACTTTTTATAAATATTGTTAATAGCAACAAATTGTTGTACGCCACTGCTCAGTTGGAATGTATTTATAACTCTTTCATTTGTTTCTTACACTTTTTTGTTAATTTTTTAGTTCTTCTCTGATAAGAGGACTATTACAATTGAGAAATGGTTAAAAATGCTGTTTCTATTTCTAATTTTTATGTTGAAAGTGGTATCTACATTATTATTAGTAGTGAGTATCATAAAGTGTTGCTAAAGAAACAATGGTTTACACAACTGCAGAGACGGTCGAGTTAATTGAATTGTACTATGGAAATAGACGTTGTGCTGCGAGAGCCGCTGAACTGTTCAATCAACAACATGGGAAGAATATGTCGCGACAGTATGTTTTCGATTTAATTGCAAAATTTCGCACAACTGGATCTATAGCAAATAAAAAACGGCAAATCGAATCACCAGTAACAAATGAGATGACACAAGTGGCAATTCTGGGCCATGTTGAGCTTGACCATACCACAGTATTTTGTATACTGTGACCATACTCTGAGCACAAGAAAGTTAGCATTTGTTTCCGGGGTGTCACGAACTAGTTTGGCGTATTGTAAAAACCCTCAAAATGCATCGTGTTACCCTCCGGCAGTTGGCATGGTTATCCTTTCTCTAGTACAAATTATATTCTGCATTGATGAAGCTACCGAGTACAATTCTACTTACAATATTATATTAACGCAAGAACTGAATGAAGATGATTCGAGTTGATTAGTGAACGAGCGGTGGAAAATCCACATTTTGTTTTCAACATTTGCTTCAGTGATGAATGTTCTTTTTTCTAAATTGCACAGTGTAATCGCCATAATTGTCGCTATTGGGCAGATTCAAATCCTCACATTTTTCATGATGTGCATACTCAACGTCCACAAAAATTAAATATATGGCCTGGAATTTTTGTTGGCCCATTGTTTTTAGAAGACAATTCAATCGGACAAATGTATCTGGAGCTTCTGGAAGATACTATTAATCCCCTTCTCACTGATATTGAAAATAACCACCATTATTGGGAGGATCTGTTAATATTTCAACAAGATGGGGCTCCTTGCACTATGATCTGCCTGTTCGGCAATATTTAGATCAGACTTTTCCGAAAATAGTGTTTTGATAAAGGTTATTGTTTTGATAAAAATGTCGAATTATACGAATGATTGATATCTTGTTTGAAAAATTTAAAATCGTCTGGTTTTGATGAAATACCAGCTCTCATTATTAAAAAGGGAAATTTCCAAGTATGATAAAGGTGGGTAAAGTTCTTCCCATCCATAATAAGGAAAATCGTGACATAATTTCTAACTATGATACCGAAGTAAGTTATTTGAATAAGTTGCTTAGAAATCTATTTTGACCCTTCAAACCGAATTTCAATGCAAAATTCGTTTTTTTTTTTGAAAATTTTTATATTCAAGTGCGCCTGTACGAAAAATCAAATATCTGCTTTCAAAAATGACTGAAATACTGGAGCGTCTTCATTTTAAGTGTCACACTGTATATTTTCAATAACTTTTGAATACTCACTTTTAGACCGCCTGTCATGTTTTCTTGATACTAACAGAATAATTTTGGAAAATTAACATGTCTTCAGACTGGGAAAGTTAACAACATCGCTTCTATAGCGAAATCATGCGCCTTATCGATGCTCTCTTCGTTATCTTGTTTAAGTCAGATTCATGGGCCTAGGGCCCCTTATCCTTTCGGCTGTTTGAGTTTTTCTTAGGTTCCTGTGGCGGGGCGGCAAGGGATTGCATGGCCCTCTATCGACTTCTTTTGGCTCTTTGTCCTGTGTGTAGAAGTCGCAGCGTACTTCTTTGGCTTTGCGGCCGTTTAGGCACCTGTTTCTTGTTTTATTTTCCGGCAAGCATGGATTGCAGTACCTGAAACTTCACTAGAAGCGCCTGCAGCTGCCCTAAGGCCGTTGGGAGACAGGCGTTCTCTAACGATGAGACGGCCCTCTCATAGGAGACGTCGCTCCTGATTGAGTTTCTTCCGACAGGCCTTGGGTTTGTGGTCTGTCTGTTTTCGTTCGGCCTATCTGAGGCCCTTTTTATTTTCAGGGCGTTCTGGGCACGCATGGAAGCTCGCTGGGTGCTCTCCCTTGCAGTTAAAGCATCGCAAGGGCGAGTTTTTAGGTCTTTTGCATTCCTTGGTCATGTGCCGTCCGGCACATCTAACGCAGGCTGGAACTGCTTTACAGTTACGTTGCGTGTGACCGAATTTTTGGCATCTGTAACATTGCCCTGCTCGGTTTCTCGGCTTCTGTGTTTCGGTGCTTACACGCACGTTTTAAATTTCGGTGATCTCATATTATTTTGTTTTGGCTCCTTGGAACTAAAACAAGCACGAACGGTATCGGTACCTTTTGTTAGCTTTACTCAGACGGGCTATGGAAAGGATCTTAAATCCTTTGCCTTGGAGTTCAGTCTTGATGTCGTAACTCTCTATGGATTACGGGTCCCCGCGAAAAACTACTCTGAGTGGTTTTTCGCTTTTCATTATATAGGTGTGGTAGGGTATTTTCTCTTGATCGGAGATCCGAGTAATTATTTTATAATCATCTGTATTTTTAAGGTGGACTTCAATTCCATCTGTTGTGTTCACCTCCCGCAATATGGAGATGTTTTGCGCAGCAGCAATCGTGTTAAAAGCTTTCCACTTTTCTTTTGCGCGGATAGTTATGGGTGGAGGCTTATCCGCTTTTATGCGTGTTTCTGCCCGGTCATTTTTCGAGGCGTCTGTTACTAGTTCTTCGTCGCCTACTTCCATTGAGTCAGGTGACGGGACTTCTGTTTCCTCTATATTTGCTGACTCAGTTTTCTGAGTGGGCTTTTGAATTTGATATTCCAGTGCCACGCCCGGCTTTTGTGATAAGGTGGGTGTAGTTTTATTTGATTTTGGCTTATTGGTCCATTTAGTCTGGGAAAAACCGGGTTTTAACTGTTTGATTTGTTGAGCCGTTTCTGGCTCTTTTTTCCTCTCTTTTGGGACCTTTGCCGCTTGGCTTTTTTCGCCCGACATAATATCGTCGCTGTCCAGATCGCTGATGTCAGAGTCGGAGTCGATAAGACGATGAATTAGAGGTTTTTTGTTTCTCAAATTCAAGTCCATTCTCTTTGCAAATAATTTATATGCTTCCACTAGTTCGGTACTACTTATTTCATAGTATTCTATAATTGTTGATATTATAGCCAGACCTGCTTCTTTTGGCTTTTTACTAAAAAAAAATTTAAAAATATCGATTCTGGCGAGTACCCTGTTGAGATTATTTGTAGTCTCAACATGGCATTCGACTGCGTGGTCATGATAGTTTGATATTATGGATTACAAACTTTTACAAAATCGCAAACAGTATGTAGGTATATGTTTGAGAAAAGAAGAATGCAATGAGTTGAGGGTTACGAATTCTACCTTGGCTGGAATTAAAATAAGTGTTCCACAGGGTTCTGCTTTGGGTTCTGTGTTATTTCTGCTATATATTAATAATATTGAAAAACTATGTGAAAATGTTCATGTTACAATGCATGCAGATTGCAGATGATATCTGTGTCAGATCATTCTGATGAAACGCTTGAAACACGCTGTAATGAACTAATCCGATCTTTGACAACGTCAACATATGACAACTAACTATTTTTCAATGTGGATAGAATGATACTTCAGGTATATCTAAATGAATTAATTTATATAAAAATTAATAGGTAACTCTCTTTCAATGAACTGTCATCCTTTTAAAAATGGTAGTCCACTAAAGTCGAATGTTGGATGAGTCAAGAATTAACGAGATACTATCTTTAATCGGGCAATTCTCAAGTGTGCAAGTCATTTATGCCTAGCTTTTTGGTACAGACCATTATCATCATTCAGTGATGGAATTTTTACTCGCACGATGAATAGTAGGTAACTGCATGGAAACTAAACAACATATACTAATAATAATTATAATTATAATACGTCTTCGTTTACCATAAAAAGAACGATTAAACATACAAAAAGAAGAAAACAACAACATTATTTATAAAGGTGAATAGGCGAAGTATCAGCCAAGGCTGCTTCTCAATTCAATCTGAAAATAGCAATAATTAAATAAGAATAGGTAACGAAAAAGTCTAGGTAACAATAATATTGTGATGAAAAAATCAAGTTAATGCAACTGCTGGGACGAACAAGAAACTAGACAATTAAGAAAGTATTTTTTGTAGTTTTCAATTGTATACGATTGAAACTCATAGAGTAGTTGTTTATGTTTGGGTGCATTATACGAGAAGCAGCAGGTGAAGATGGAAGATTTGTGTTTGGGGATGATTAAAACTGAGCTGTTCCGTGTGGTGAAACTGTTATTTGTTGAGAATGTTCTAAGCTTCTTCAGTGAGTAATCAAAAGTTTATCTGGTGTTGATGACATAATGACTCAATACTTGACACTGACAAATTCCAGCATCCCACCAGTGTTCTGGAACCTTTTTCAAAAATCTGGTGAAATATAATTTCGAAAGAAGATTTGGATGTTTCCTTCAGTTCCACTTTCAAGTAAGATTAAACGAAATCTCCGATTTTTCCCCCGTTTGCACCTGATTTTAAAAAAAGGTCCTTAATTAAATATCTAATTCAAATATTTGAAACATGTCATTTGCCAATTCCTGGTAACTTTTGGAACGTATCTAAACGATAGCTGTGTCACTTGTCACATAAAACAATAACTAACCTCAGAGTAATAAATAACTAACGTGACAAAGTGACTAACAATAATGACATGACACACAAATTGAAAACAAACTTACCTACTGATAATTATTCCTAACTGTAAATAACTAAAATTGAAGATAACGTAACTGCTTCGAAAGTTTTGTTTTGTCTAATCAGCAACCTAAACATACCATTGTTTTGACTATAATGTAAAAAGTAATGAGTTTTCCTTACTCACTTTAAAAAGCTGCTAATTCACAGTTGAGACTGATAAACATACAATGTCTGTTCAAATTCCCCTTAAGACCAAAGATTTTTATAAAAGCATCTTCAATAAGGTAGTATAACTTTATATTGTTGACTGATAACCTTAATAATTTATTTTGAAGTATGATAGAAACAGAGATGGCTTTATTAGCATAAATGAGCTGAATGATATCATTGAAAGTCGTGAGTATGAAGAAGATATACCTCCTTATTGTGTGAAGAAAATCCTTGAGCTGCATGATCTTGATGGAGATCGAAAATTGAACTTTGAGGAATTCTATGAAATGATAAATAATCCTGATTTGCAGTATGTTTTTGGACACTACTTAAATAGGTGAGAGCTTGGTATGTTACATGCACATTTTGCTTTGTATATTGAAGGATCACACCTTGTCAATGGCTTTGTTCATGTCAACAGTTTCAATCTTTTTAAGTACGGGATTGAAACTACTCTTATCATTAGACCGAAATTACTTTTATAATTCGATTGAAATGTTGATTAAACAATTGAACTAAACGTTGAATGGATATATTGCAGATATATTAGTTGGATCATCCCTCGTAAACAACACCCAACAACAAGAACTGTAACTGATGGATTATATGAAGAAGAGTATTCGTGTTACCCTCCGGCAGTTGGCATGGTTATCCTTTCTCTAGTACAAATTATATTATTCTGCATTGACGAAGCTACTGAGTACAATTCTACTAAAAGTGCATCAGGTCCTTGTGCAACTATATTTATTTATGAACCTCGTCGTAGAAGAGAAATTTGGAGATATGTTACTTACATGTTTGTTCACATCGGGTAAGTATTTTGTTTTATAATTTGAATTTTGATTTGAAAATATTCAAGGCTATGCATATTCAAAGTTGCCAATTTATGGGTTCTATTGAATGATGCCAAAAATCGCTTCTTCATTTTCGAAAATATTAGAAATTTATTGACACTTTGCCATAACAACTTTCACCTTACTGTCAGTATGTGATTACAAATTTTTTATAAGAATGGTCATCTTCAACTTTGAAATTTTGAACACGAAATGTATTTTTTGTGGATATATTTTGATTACTCAAGTTCATATAATATTCTTAAATTGAAGTGCTTGTGTTTTGTCCTTAAAAATAGATGATAAGTTTTTTAATTAATTCCTAATGGAAGCATCCATGTTTTTATGCTGTACAGCTAATTATCAAAAACTTCTAGAGATTATGGCATTTTCTATTTTTATAAAATAATTGAAAAATTTACATATATGATATATGTACTATAACTATCAGCTAGATGTAAGGAAAAAATATTAAAAAAGGCAAAAATAAGCCAATCAATTACAATCTTATCACAGTCTTTTCAAATGATTCCAAAAAAACATTGAAAAGTTCTAAATCCACATGGTAAGTGTTTTTAAGTCTCAGAATTCTACCTATAGACTCATTCTGACCATAGTTGTTATGATGAAAGGGTACTTTGAAGATTTGTCTATTTAATAATTGATAATTTTGTGAATTAGTGTAAGATCTGATTCTAATCTTCTATGAGCCAGAGTATTCAAGTTGAGAATGTCCACTATACTTTTATAGTCATATTCACTAATATGATATCCCAGTTTATATTAGCAGAGTACCTTTAAAACTTGTTTTGAACACTTACAAGCACATCAATATCTTCATTATATGAGGGGCACCAAATTGTATTCGATAATTTATCTAAAAAATGGAACAATATATGATGTTTGAAGAAGAGAGATATTCCTCTGCAGATCTAAGAGTGAAACCTAACATTTTGGTGCTTTAAAAGTAACATTTGCAATATGAGGTTTGAATGGTATTTTTGGGTCAAGATTTATTCCTAATTTTTTGATTGAATTTGTTGTTTCCAGTTTCGATTGTTTGATGCTACATGGACTATTTATGAGATTTTTGACATGGAAAAAGGGAAATTTATGACATCTATATTTGATTGCAGTAAGGTTATATCCCACCAGCATACAAAGTTAGATAAATCGTACTATAATGATTCAGTATCAGATGAGTAATGAATAACTTTGAACATCTTCAGATCAACAGCAAACAGAAGAAATTCACTCTAAATAATAACATCATTCAAGTTATTTACAAACAGTTTGAAAAGTAATGGTCCTAGCTGAGGTCCCTGCGGTACACCAGATGGAAGTGTGATTGAGAAAGATATTAGGTTACCATATTTCACATATTGGACTCGGCAGACAAGATAATTTTCAATCTATATCAGAATGGGGTCCTGAATACCCAAAGCGTTTAGTTTATGCAATAATAGATTGTGATTAACTCAGTAGAATGCCTTTGAAAAAATCTGTGTAAATAGAATCAACCTGGTGTCCATTTTTGAAGGCATTTATTATAAAATGTTCATAAATGAGCATATTTGTACTGGTAGATCTATCACGACTGAATCCATGTTTTTGATTTATGATAGATAGATAGATAGATAATTTTTATTCATCCATGAAGCTTCACACAGTGCAGTACAGTATTGAAACTTATCAGACTAGTCAATTACATATAACATGAACAAACACCTAACATAAATGCATGGTTAATAGATTTACATATCAGAATTATCGATAGGAAAATTTAAAAACTCATCTACAGAATAAAACGCATGATTATTTAAAAAGTCATGGAATGTTGCTTTGAAAACTCCAAAATTTTTTATTTCACCAATTAATTTTACGCATTGGTTATAACACTTGATACCCAAATATGTCAAAGAGTTTTATGCTAGGCCTAGACAGGAAAACGGTGAACGTATTTCACTTGCATTGCGAGTGGTATACTCATGTAGAGTATTTCCTCTCACATGACTATGTTTTTCTTTTTTGATGTTGCTGGTTATTAAATATATATACATACAAGGCAAGGTCAGAATGGACAGTCTTTTAAATATTTGGATCAAATATTTGATTATATGTCTACAATCCAATGATAGCTTTTTTGTTATTGGACTATCTAATAATTTGGGCAATTCAGATTGATTGCAAACTGCTTGATACTTTTTAATGACATTGCGTGATCCACTTTTATAAATAGGTTTCAAAAAACTGTTTTTCCAATAATATGGAAAGATGAAAGATTTCAAAGAAAAGTTGAATATCATGTGAACGAGTTTCGTTTTATGATCACATTCTAATAGTACAATAAAAATTTCAATTACAACAGATTTCTAATATTTCTCTCTGACTGAAAATTTTAATTTTTTGTGGCTAGAGTTTTTTCAATAAGTATTTTTACCTGGGTATTTATGGCCTTTTGCAACTCCCTGTAATACATGGTTTGATGTACACCTTCAACATTTCTTTCCAATCTTCAAATTATGTCAGCAAAACAATGTATCAGAATACTGGTATATTAATAATATCGAGTTTCCCTCTAAGAGTATTTTATAAGACAGAAACCGATGCCTGAATGCACTGGACTTTTAACTTCTGATTTGTTGATAAGTTCAAACCATAGAGAGCTATGATTAAAACTTGTGATTTAAAATGTGATTAATATTTAAATTTATTAGATGTTATGGCTCTTGTTTGATTGTATGTGACAATATTGTTATTTTGATATTTTTACCTTAAGTATCAATAATATATGTAAGTTTAAACTAGTTTCTTTTTCGTTTGACCACAGATTGTTTTGAATAATAATTATCAAATAATAAAAGATACAGCAAAAAATTGAATTTTGAAAAATAGACAGCTTTCTCACAATTTAACATACTCTCTATCCCCTTCCATTTATGAGATACCTATACATAGACTCAAATTTGAATAGTATTATTTTGTTTGTTTCAGGGCATTCCATTTGGTTGTCAACTTATTAGTTCAAATTTTGCTTGGAATACCATTGGAGATGGTACATCAGTGGTGGCGAGTGTTAATAGTCTATTTGGCTGGTGTACTTGCTGGTTCCTTAGGAACATCTGTTGTTGATCCTACTGTCAAACTTGCTGGAGCAAGTGGTGGAGTTTACTCATTGGTGACAGCACATGTTGCCTCCATTATAATGGTAAGCGAAACTTATACGTGTGTTTGTTTGGAAGGTTTCTGCGGTCAGCAGTCTGATAATATGAAGTCCGAGTTGAACTGCCTCTGATGTTTCATAGTAGTTCAACGTTTTGGCTTCCAAGCCATTTTCAAGAAGCTATCACTATACTCAGGTAGTGACAAGCTGTTAGGGTTTTGTGACTTATCACCGTGGTCTCAATCTGCCTACTCCCCAGGTATGACTTGCTGGTCTTTGTAAGGACCCCAATCTGGACCCCAGTAGTGGCCCCATATAGAAGGAAACACAATTAAATTCACTCCTGGTCAGCATCTTTGATGTATCGGGTCGAGATTTTATTTTTTGCTGGCATGTGACAGGAAGTAGGGCTAAGAGCTATCGTGCACCTCTGCAAGAGCTTCGATCAAAAAATATGTGACCACGATCTGACTTCATCATTGCTACGAGGAGCTCACAATAAATATCTCATATGATTGTGAACTGTTTAGGAATTGATAAAAAATAAGACAAGGTGGTGAAATAAACGTATATTTTGTAAAGTAATATTATACAATTTAGGTCAAAAACTTATGCTAGTCTATTCTGAAGGTTTTTCAGAATGTTGAGTTTTTGATTTTTTTAACATTTGTTTTCAAATTTCTTTCGTCAAATTTCAAAGTATAGTAAATTCTTACCCTTGTGAACAATGAAAATAAATAATCCTAAGGAAAATTATCACAAGGGTGAGAAATGTTGATTTTTGTGCAATCATATGGCACATAAATTATGAAAATGAGGAAATTCTGTCTCTAGATGAATGATACTTTGTGAAAATGGATCTGGAGGCATATGTACATTTTCAAACTGTTTGGCTTCTGTATCACTGTATCCTTGAAATAATAATAATCTCTTTATTTACTCAGATTGATTTGTATAACCATAGGAGCAGAAGTACAAATGAAAAAGGGGAAAACGTCAATGTACAATATTGAAAAGAAATAAAACTATACGAAATAGATAATGTCACAAAGTTATAAATATATAATTGTTTCCTATACACACATATAGTATTGGATTACAAATAAAAGTCATTAATACTGTAGCAGTTCTTTGACAGGAGAAGTTGCTTCAGTCTCGATTTAAAAATGTGTACATTTCAGAATTTCTGATATTGTCAGGAAGTGGTATTTCCACAAGTAATTCTCTGTTGACCAAAATAATTTTCCACACAGTCCTGATTTATATTCCTCGTCAATATGTAGGAGTGTCCTTCACTATGTAGGTTTTCTCAGAAATGCCGAAATTGTTATCTGCCACCCATCAATGAATCTTATTTATCCAGTCGTGTTTTTTTCCTTTTTTTGATATTACAGTTAATCTGGTGAAAAATATTTTCATTTCTTTCAGAAAATAAATTTGTTTTGATGTTCCAAAAAAGGTTTATTGAAATGTTTGACATCGACAAATTGATTTGAATTATAAATATCAAACACTCTATCCATTTTTTCTATGAATGTAGCCGTCCCTATTGCTGTTGATGGCATTTGATTGAAACTGGCATAAGTGTTCATCGCTGTAGCTACCGAATGACTGAAAACTTGAGTGGCTAATTTAACCTTCGTCCTTTGAAAGTTAGTTGAGAATGAATGAGAATCAGTAAGTTTGGGGGCTAGTTTATATTGCGTTTCCTTATCCAAGTTCTAAAGTTGCCCAAGATGACTTTTGTTCGTTTTGAATTCATCAAATTTCAAAAATCACTTTAATGAAATGAATAAAAATACTTTTGTCTAATTACCACTAGTTGATTTTATTTATACGACCGGCTTCAAGTTTGACCCTATTATCAAGTATAAAACTCTTGATCTAATTTTTGATAATTGCCTAACAGCTTCAAACAGAATACTTTTTATATCCAATATTGATGTGGATGAATTGGTAAAAAAGTATGCAACAGTAGGCTCCAAAAACCGTTATTTGAATATACAATTGATACTTTGGTTTCGCAGAGATTTTAGTGGAAGTAATATTTTTCCTACAGATACATACCTACTAGCCAAATCAAAAAATGTGATCCAACAATTATTTTCCTTTGTGGATTTCCAGTGGAACTCCGATTGTTTTGTCATTTTATATCATTACTTGTGTGACATATTATTCGGAAAGTTCAATTTCATCAAACATAAATTTTTTCGTCAATTGGAAAAAAAAAAAAAATTAATGCCGACATCACCCTGCAAAAAGCTCGACACTTGTTCATTTTGAAACTAGACAAGAATTTTTCACAAATACAAAACCACCACTTACGACTCACTCTGTAATAATATTCCATGCCTCAACTTGGCTCGCTTGGTAAACCCATCAGATTCAATCGGTTGCACTGTAGGTTGGCTGAGCATAAAATTCGAGATGGAGAATCTTGACCCAAATATGGCGGAAAGTGAACTTACTTGTGTTTACTTCTATACGGTGGTCGTGGGAAGGGGATTGTGACTTCCAGAAGCGAGGTGTGCAATGTTGTGAGATGTACATCAGCCAAACCAACAGATGAGTATCCAACAGAGCTTACGAACATGAGCTTGTTGTCCCCAAATCAGATCCATCCCTCTTCAAACATAATCGTGAAACAGGCCACACAATAAGCTTCAAACTCTGCGACTCTGAATTATTTGATTATTTTTTAACTATTGTTGCATTGATCCTTGAAATTGTAAAGAGAACATCTTGACAATGAATATACGAGGTCTGTAAATTCTTTGATTCGTTTTTTTCTATAGCAGAAAATCGCCGAGGAACACTTGTAACTTTTTTGCCTTTCACCAACAAACCAAACGTGCTATACAGCTGAAACTGTGAACATATGTTCGAGACAAGTATACCAACATTAAAAATCCCTAATCAAATTTACGTGGCTTGCAAAATTTGAACATTCATCTTAATTTTTAGACAGACCTTGTGCCATAGTTGGATATGTTATCTTTGAAGGTATTTAATATTACAACTAGGTGTTGGAAGTTTTTGAATGATATGAATAAAAGAAAACATTCAATAGGTATTGGCTATCTACTATGTGAAAGTTCAAATCAAATAATTTGGTTATTTAAATATATTCATCTGAACGAATTGAAGATATCTCATTTAGCTGTTCATGTATTTCAGAACTGGAAAGAGATGTCATATCCAATAGCCCAGATGCTTGTTTTTATCATAGTAGCTGGCACAGATATTGGAACAGCTGTTTACAACCGATACGTCCTAGATATTGATGAACATATTGGATATGCTGCTCATATTGCAGGTGCTCTAGCAGGATTACTTGTAGGAATTAATGTTTTGAGGAATCTCAGTGTGACTAGAACTGAGCGGGTTATTTGGTGGTGTTCCATAGTGACATTTAGCCTTTTGATGGGAGCTTGTTTAGTTTGGAATTTAGCTGGGAAGAGCTATTTTCCGGAGGAAATATGGAATTAGCCAGAAACCTATGTATTCAGGGCAATGTGAAGGCAGCGTATTCATATTTTTATAGGATCTTTAAATAATTATAACACTTTTCTATTTTAGGCTATAAAATTTCATTGACAATTTGATTTTATAAATTCAACAAAAATATTCAGCTAGAAGTAGACTGCAGAAAGTTCATTTTTGAAGGAAACTTCAATAAGTATTCCAAGTAAAACAGAGAAAAACAAGTAATTAATACTTGTTTGAGTTAGATGAATTTAATTAACAAACTATGAAAAATTATTATTATTATAGTATCGAAGTTTTTTAATATTATGAAAGTTAATGTCGAACATTTTATACCAGGACGAGTATATCCTTTGAATTTAGTTTATTTGGCAGCGAATCTCTAAAATTTTCTCAGGAACATTCAGAAAACTTAGTATCCAAGTATATTTTCACAGTAAACCTTGAACTTTTTTCAAGTTTTATAATAAAAAACTGCAGGGGTTATATTTTGGTTGTTTTTCGGGTTTTGCTGTGGTCTTTGGTTACAATCTCAAAACACTTCGACTGCAACAGTCATCTTCAGTAACATGGTAATCTTCAAAGTACTCTTCTTGACGTATCAAATGAAAGTCAGATGAAACTGAAGATGACTATCGCAGTTGCAGTTGAAACAATTGGAGATTGTAACCAAAGACCACGGCAAAACCTGAAAACCCACCAAAACACTGACGCCAGCCGTGAAAGCCTACATTTGTATGCAGGAGTTATTCTTGTTTCACCCATCAGTAATATACTAACTCAAATTGATTACTGTAATAGCTATTCATAACCTAGATACAAATTCAACATTTTGAGAAGTCATACCCTGAGAAGCATGTCAACATGTTTTGCAGTATTTATGAAAAAGAATAATTTAGAATAGTAATAACAGTCCTAAAGAAACTTGTTATTTTCTCGTGATTAACATAATGTATTCAATTTTTCCATTTTCATTACTATGAAGGTGAATATGAAGCCATTTTTTCAAAATTCAATTTTTTTTTGTTCAACATAACATATTTTAATCACTAACAGTATTTTTATAGTTATTGATAAGAAAATATTCTATTATTTATAGTATCTGACCAGAGCTATAGTTTTGATAATATGTCTATGTTTATTTCTTCTACAGGTAATACTTCCAAATTATTAGTTTAGTGGTTGACAATTTTGTGATATATTTTTTCATATTTGTACTGTTATATCTGATAGATTTTTACATTTCTTCAAAATGATGTGAAGATATACCCATAAGTTATACTTTATATGATGTTTTATAGGGAAATAAGTAAGGAATTCCATATTCATTCACCACCACTTAAGTGCAAAATATAAAAATTTAATGGTTAATTCGAAAGTTAATATTTTTATTAGAATAGTGAAGTGACTTTCATAATGAATCTCCTGTATAAAACACATTCTCACGAAAAGTTCTGTTTTTTGTATCGAGAGGTGAAAGAAACTTTAAAGTGTATTATTTTTTTGGTTGTGGTAGGAGTTAAAATTTTTTGTCCTATATTTATAAAAGTGTATTAATGTTTTGTATGTTGTATATTTTAAGCAAATATATATTTTTGTACTCAAATGTTTTTCAATAACTTGAATTGTTGATTGAAACATAATTTTCTTTTGACCCTCTAACGGTTAGCGTTACCCACCTTTAATCTGTTTAAAAAAATTAATTTTTCCTGTAACCAGCTATCGCACCCCTACGAACGACCCTCAGAAGTTGAAACTTGTGCGGGCTAAGGATTAACGAGGTCTTACCTTTTAACGTGTGATTCCTACCACGGGTTGGACGATAGCAAGTGAAAATCGATCGTTCAGACTGGGGCTTGAACCACCGACCAACACGGCGGTCACTTCGAGTGAGTGAACAAAGCACCCACATCTAACCGCCTGGCTACCGACCAATGAAAATTCCAACTGGAATTTTTATCAAAGTGTATCAACATCTACAGATAATTTTAGTAAAACAGTTTGGCAGATCATTAATACTGAAACTGGTAGAAAAAATAAAATCTCAAACAATCTTGAAAACCTAACTGCAGATCAAATAATATGAATTCCACTTTGGAAAATGTATCTGAAACTGAGTCAGTCAATGTACTATATATAATGAAGCGAGCGTTTTCGACAGCTGGTAGTACTGTTATCTTCTAGGCACTCCTCAAACTGAACTTGTCATCCCGTCGTCTGCCTCTTTATACGGTCAGAGCGTCTTAACTCAGGTATTTCAGGTACTTTAGTCCGAAGATGTAAAAGGTGTAAATATGTTTGTTATCAAAAGCTGTGCTCAATACATAACTGATCCCTTGGCGGACATAGTCAATGCATACTTCACTGAGGGTTATTTTCCACTAGAGCTGAAAATCGGAAAAGTACTTCCCATTCACAAACAAGAGGATTGCTCAGAAGCAAAAAACTTCCGACAAATTTCCATTTTACCATCTTTCTCGAAGATAATTGAATATGCCATTTACACACAACTTGTTGAATTTTTAGAAGTCAATGATATTTTGAGTCCACATCAATTTGGCTTCAGAAGGGGAAAATCAACCTCTGATGCAATCAACTCTCTCACAAATTACATAAAAGATGCATTTGACAATAAAGATAATAAATTGGTGTATTCACTGATCTCTCTTCGGCGTTTAATTGTGTGAATGATAATCTCCTCTTAGACAAATTATACTGTTATGGTATTAGAGGGGTGTGTCTAAAGATAATAGAATCATACTTGACTGAGAGATTTCAAGTGGTAGAATGCGGAGAATCTCGTAGTCAAAAAATAAAATTGATAAGAGGAGTTTCTCAGGGCTCCATATTAGGACCACTTCTCTTTCTTATATATATTAATGATCTACCACATTTCTTGAATTCATCAGATATTAAGACTACCATGTATGCAGATGATGCAACCTTGAGCAGAGCAGTGGACGAACTTAAAACTCCTCAACATACCCTAATTAATATCGTGGATTTTACACCAGGACAACACACATGCCCATAACGCGTCTGTGAAGCGGTATTTGGCCGATAAACGCACTCCGTACTCGCCATATTTGGCACCGTGCGACTTTTTTTGTTTCCGAAGATAAAATCTGCTTTGAAAGGAACCTGATTTGAGTCGATTGAAGCGGTGAAGCTCCTAAAGGCCCTCACTAAAGAAGACTTCCAGCACGGCTTCGATCAATGGAAAAAACCTATGAAAAGGTGGATGGGGAGTATATTGAAGGGGAGCAGTTGAATGTAGAATAATTTTTATTATAAAAGCCTTTTTCATAACCAGTCTCGTTATTTAATAGCCGGACCTCATCTTTTATGACGTCCATTACAGTACAAAGTATAAACTGATTTAATAAAATGGTTAAGGCTTTCGAAGCCGAGATTTACAGTGTCACTATTTTCCGGGTTTGAAGGCCGTGTAGTTTTTATTTAATTAGTTCGGACTTCCATTGGCTAATATAATATAAATTGATTTGAAATCCCTGAAAAAAAAATGTAAAAGATTAACCGAAAATTTAAAAATATTATTTACAAAAAATGAAAAATTAAAATTAAAAGCGATTCCACCAAGTTACGTCATGACGTTTCAATTGTTAGCATCCACAATCGTCTTCGGGTGATAACTGGACTTATTCCTCCAAGATGTGACCATTTATAGGTCATTCGAGTGCTTTCACCTATCCCCTCTTCCCTTTCTCCGCTTCATTGGCCTCTTAGTTTCACCGGTGTATGATTCTCCGCACTCGCAGGATATCCGGTAAATACAATTCTTGGAATCGGAGTCCGCGTTTGGTGGACTTTCGATGAAATAATTCTGAAATTTTCGTTAACAAACTATTTTTGATAAGTGAGAAATTTGATATTTTGTGAATGAGTCTTTCCTGGGCATTCGGTGTTGTTTAACGCAGGATATTTCAAATGACATACTATTTACAAGTCATAAAATTTTTACCGAGAAACTATTTTTCCAGTTCTCATTCGCTACCTGTTTCGGTACAAATGAATTTTTCCTGTTTTATGACATACTATTTACAAGTCATAAAATTTTTACCGAGAAACTATTTTTCCAGTTCTCATTCGCTACCTGTTTCGGTACAAATGAATTTTTCCTGAATAATATTTTACTCTTATTTTACATTTTTTTCGGTATTACTGCATGTATACGGACAGTTAGCTGATATAATGAGTTCATGTATGATGCTGACTCATTTATTCGACATGTTTCAATAATATATCGTGTTTTTGAAATGATAACATCGAAATACAGGTAAAATTCTCAATATTTGCAATCTGGCAACACTGTTCGCAAATCTCATTCTGAACCCTGTTCGATTGTCCTTCGTCATAAACTGTGGATGAAAAGTTGTGGGTAACTTCACACTAATAGAAATACATATAAAGTAAGTTCGAATTATATCAAGGAGGTTACTTACAGCGCCATCGAATAGATCAAGCAATAATGTCGATATATCAAAGAGGCTACGTACAGCGTCATCTGCTCGCTAATAGATCAAGCAATAATGTCGATGCATCAAGGAGGTTACCTACAGGGCCATCTGTCCGCGAATAGATCAAGCAATAATGTCAATAATTCTGTCAAATACAGATTCAGAGCTTGAGAGTTACAAACAAACATACATACATACAGGTGAAGCTAATAAAAGCGTGTTAATTAATAATTTAAAATGCCATATTTGAGAGTCGGAAGATATTCAATTATCTACCATTTGAAATGAAAAGTATTACAGACTCAAAAACATTCCGTAAACGTGTGAAGGAACTTTTACTCACGAAAGCCTACTATAGTTTGAAAGACTATCTTGAAAACAGATTTTGGCTACCTAAACCTTTGAGGTTAAATGAACTGATTTATTTTATTTATACATGTAAATCAATTCTTAACTGCTTTATAGAATCCTGTCTATATGTAAGCGTTAGGCCCTTTACTTCCATTGATTTACTGTAACTTGACTGTAAATTGTCAATAGGAATTTTTTTCTTTTACAATACAGTATTTTCACTTGAAGGTGAATCATTTTTTGGGTGCACACGTCGAGTCAGTGCAGTTTCTAACAAGTTCACTTTACAACTCCGAAAGAATGAAGACAGACCGAAACAAAAAGTATTTTTGTTAAGGACAAAACATAAGCACTACAAGAAAATCCTCAAATCGATCTAAGAGCGGTGCCTGTGCGAAAGTAGCGATTCACCTTGGATTTGAATCGCTGGAGATTAAATCTATTTGGGAAAACGTTCTCAGGAAATTTATTCCACACTAGTACTATGTTGCTGTATTGCTGCTGTTCCAATGTTTTGACACATGACAGAATCAACGAACCTGAGCGTGCGCAGCGTTATAGAACAGTGCTTTCAAAAAATTGTTCTACAGCGCCACCTTGTGTTGCCACCGCCACCGCTGTTGGTGGAATCAAATGTGCCAACTCACATAAACACCTCCCATGAAAGTATTTATAAAAGAGAGACAAATCTCCAACCTTTTTTCGAAACAAGTGATATTTGTGTCGCCAATCAGGCGGATAGCTCTTTTCCGGATGGAATCTATAGCAACTTCAGGGTACGCTTAGGGACGGAACTCCATACATGAGAATGATACTCAAGCAACTTTGTTATTCCCCGACAGTTTTGATCGCCAGATCAGTTGGAGTTTTTGTTGATACTTGCCTAAGAAAGACCGCGTTTTGGGCATTCTGATGTTGCAGTTCCTTTGTCGGGTATCGCAAAACATTTGAACAGCTCATACGATATATGGTGTCAAATACCGATTATCAAACCAGGCCATAGAAAGGTGGTAATCTTGAAAATAACACCGAAATACATGCCATTAACTTGTAGTTGTTGTTCGAATATTTACTATCAATTTACAGGATAAGGACGTGGAGTGTCTACTTCTAATTATACTTACTTCTAAGACATGAATCAAGTTGGTGAAATAAATGTTAAATGCTCTGTTGAAACTGATTTCAATTCAATAGTTATAAAGATACGTGCAGTTTCCTGAAAGGTTTTCACAGCTGCTGTGTGGTAGAACGACATCTAAAATTACAAGAACGCTTGCATATAACACCAAACCCACCCAGCAAATATGCCAAACGATTATTTCCAGTTTAGTTCTCTTCAAATTTCTCAAAATGTTCACCCCAAACAAAAGTCCAGTTACCGCACCCCCCGCGTGAGCGGCGTAACTTATATTTTCCGATGTTCCATTTAACAGATTACATACCACATCCACAATGGTTATGATGCCAAATAATAACAGATGAAATGTAGGATGGCTCATTTCTCTCCAGTTCTGGAAATAAAAAAAAATAATTGAAATGACTGCAATGATGATTCTGATTAAGTAGTTTCTGTCGGGTTCATTTGGCAGAACTGCAACTAACTTTATCGAGATTGATTATTTAATTATTTATCAACTAAGTAACAGTAAGTGTAGTGTTAGACACTGATTTTCGAAAGTTTTTCAGCTTTCTACTTCTTCATCAATAAACAATATAAATGTGAGACTTCTAAAGAAACGAAGCTGACCAACTCTCTATTAGATTAGATTGTCGGGGAGCTAGCCCATGGCCTAATTCACTGCGACCTTTTCAGATCTATTGTGATGCTCCTTAGTTGTTAGAGGTGATCTCTTTGATACGACTCCACAGCCTTGACACTGACCCCTTCATATAGCTGGCAGCCTCTGTCCTTAACTATATTTCTAGACTAGTATAGTCGCAAAGTGCGTGAACTAAGCAAACTTACGCTTTGCATTTCAATTATTATTGTGTATTGTGACACTTAACGACATCTAATGGCGAGTAGTGGTACTATGTACTATCTTTTTCAGCTACCCGTTAGGTGGCATTAAGCGTAATTAAATATTTGGAATTACCTCGTTGGTTCGAGAACGTTCTGGTTCTAGCTAGTGCATTCCGATCATCTCGACATGGCAGTCATAATTGCATATAAAAAGGCTAGCGGCGCAACTGCGAGTTAGTCTGTGTAGGAAAGGTGAAGGAAGCGAAACTGTCTATTGTGAAATAAAGTAACACCCGTCAATAAAACAATAAGTCAAGGGTTGACTTATTGTTTTTATGTGTGATTTGTTAGTATGAAAAAGAAGCGAAAAATTGACAGTGAATACAGAACGTTCCAAGAAAAATGGAACTTTCAGTATTTTGTGATTGAGTGGCAAACCATTCACCGATGGAGAAATGATAAAAGAACGCTTGATTGCAGTAGCCGAAGAAATATGCCCCGAAAAGGTAAATTTATTCAAAAGTGCCAGTTTGTCAGCAAACACCGTGGGTCGGAGGGTGCAAGACATCGCAGAAAATATATCATCTCAACTGTCTGACAAAAATTGACATCATGAGTGGTTTTCTATAGCATTGGATGATTTAACGGATGCGTCAGATACTGCTCAGGTGTTGATTTTTATTCGCGGAGTATATAAAAGCTATGAAGTGTATGAAGAACTTCTTGATATTGATAGTATTCACGGCACGACAACTAGGGCAGATATTTTTGAGGGAGTTGAAAATGCCATTAATAAAAAGAACCTTCGATTGAGAAATTTGAAATCTATAACAACTGATGGAGGCAAAAATATGTATGGTAAAAATAAAGGAGTGGTTGCACTTGTGTCAAAGGCTGTAGAAAATGATGGTGGTTCAAAACCATTAGTCTTACATTGTATCATTCATCAACAGTCCTTGTGCGGAAAATGTTTGGATATGTCTGAAGTTCTAAAACCAGTCATATCAGTTGTTAACTTCATCAGATCCACTGGGCTGAATCACCGACAATTCCGCGAGTTTATTCAACAGATTGGAGAAAATTATTTACCATATCATACTGCCGTACGCTGGCTTAGTTGTGGAAAAGTCCTTAAGCGCTTTTTTGAACTTCGAGCAGAGATCGAATTTTTTTTAAAAGAGAAGCAGCGCCCTTTTGCCGATTTAGAAAATAGTGAATAGATGTGGAAGTTAGCCTTCTATGTCGATTTCACAAATCATATGAACGAACTGAATTTGGGATTGCAAGGAGAAAATCAGCTTCTCCCTGATTTATACACCAATATCAAATCCCTCAGGCAGAAAATAATACTATTTCAATACGCATACGCATACGCAATTACGTAAAAAATGTTTCACACATTTTGAAATTTGTGAAATATTCAGTCACACTACAGAGACTGAATTTCCCGTCAATTTTGCAATCGAAACTTTGAGTGCTTTGAAGATAACATTTGATACTCGTTTTTCAGATTTTGATGTCATTGCGAATGAAATTGAGCTTTTTCAAAATCCTTTTGATTCTGACATTGAAACCCTGGCTCCGGAAGTCCAAATGGAAATTATTGATTTACGGTGCAGTGATATGCTTAAGAACAAATATCAAAATTCGTCTTTGTTGGAATTTCATAAGAGTCTTCCACTGGAACGATTTAATAATTTGCATAAAATTGCTCGTGGGTTGTTTTCTGTTTTTGGTACTACTTACTTGTGTGAGAAAACGTTTTCCAAGATGAAGTACACAAAGAATGTTTACAGATCTCAATCAACTGATGAGCATCTTAAATCTCTTTTGATAATTGGTACAAGTAAAATTGATCCACAACTACAAAGTATTGTTGGTGGAAAATCACAATTACATAAATCTCATTAGTGTTTTTGTTTTACTGTGATTCAGTTCAATTATTTGTCAGTTATCAATATGCTTAAACTTAGATACTTAAGTTAAATTTTCTTTGTCATCATTTCTGTCGTTAAGTTTTACCTAGCAAGTAAATAAAACCGAGTAATTATCATTCTGTATTTTCTTCTTCAACTTATCACAGCATTAGTAACAACAATTAGGTAATCATTGGCTGTGGCGGGCCGGATTGATGACACTGGCGGGCCGGATTTGGCCCGCGGGCCGTAGTTTGGAGACCCCTGGGCTAGAACGTCCTCATTGCCCTTGTGACCCTCATGTCCGGGTACCCAAGCTAGAGTGGCCCTATTTTGGGTACTTAGCTTCTTGAGTGCGCTCAGACAGCTTCCCACCAGTCTTGAGAAGACTTGAAATGGGCTGAGCGCCTTAATTGCCACCTGGCTGTCAGAAAAAATGGCAATGGTTTTATTTGTGACCTTCTGCCTGTTTATTTCCCCTATACAATCGACTCTCTATACAGAATTTATCCATTAAAACTTAATGGTAGTTTGTCATATTTTATAAAAAAGTTCATATAAACGTGTGTGCTAACTTGTTTCGTTTCCGAGTATCGGGGTTTCATAGTTTTAGTGAAAAAATTGTTCTTTTATCAATAGCTCACAATTATTTTTGCCGATTTTGATTAAACTACGGATGTTTGTTATCAGTAACAAGGGGCTTCTTTTCATGAAATAAGATTACGGATAATAATTCAAGTGGCGTCACAGATTTATATTTAGGGTACGCCACTGTTTTTAGCTCTGTTTGATATCAATCAAGATAGCTAAACTTTATTGAATCAGAGTCAGTGGCGTAGAAATGGGAATTATGCATAATTTAGGTTCAAAAATATGTTTTGATATTCGCACCATTTGAACAAACTTTGAAATGCAAATCTGTTTGGATAGTAAATGAAAGACGTATTCAAGCTGCTTTTTTTTCGGAAAACAGCATAGGTGATAATGAAAAATAATTAAAACATATGCTCAAAATGAGCATCCTTGACTTGACTCCTCATCGAGTGCTGCACGCGTTGAAAAAATACTGGGATGCTAAGTATGACTTCAGAAATATGCATAATTATGAATCTCCAAGTCATTTTTATCGACAACTGGTATCGCATAAGCAACCGATTTAAGATATCTTCAAAATATTTAATACAGAGGGTTCGAGTCTGAAGATCTAGGTGACCATGGTTGAGGTCCCCCACGACCTCTCCACTAATTAGCAAAAGTATCACTCAGATATTCACGAGCGGTTACAATGAAATTAGCAGGTGCTGCATCGTACATTAACCACAAATTTCGTTTCACCAGCAAAGGTACATCCTCTAACAATTGTGGTAACGTGTCTTCTAGAAATTGTCTATACGTCACACCATTGAGTCGAAGTGTAAGAAAATGTGGCCCAGACGTTCACCAAAAATTACTATTCGTATCCACTTTCTACAATAGCACGCTCGTGGTATGGATACAATGAATTTGCGAAACCTTCCAAACACTTCGATGACTGACACTGAACTGTGTAGCTAATTTTCGGGTACTTGTTGAAGAATTGCCGTCAACTTCTGGAAGAATTGCTTCCTTTAATTTTGGTGTCATTATTGTCATCGGTCTACCAGTACCGTCCCGTGTAATGCTGGAATATCTCTGTTAGTATATCTTTCTTGATAGAGTCGACGGGCTTCTACAGTATATCCTTCTATTAGTCCATAAACCAAATGCATTTCAGCTGATTCAGAGTTGTTCATATTTACTTGATAGTATATACTAAGACAACCGTATTTGCACCCTGAAACAATTTGCCGATACTGTTGTAATTCATCCCCTGAAAAAATAATGCCGCCGCCACTGGTCGGCATAAATCAGTTGTGACGTGGCCAAGACTTGCACTTAGCGAGTATTGTAGATTTTGCGTCGCTTCGAGATACTTCCAGCGACTTCCCTATTGGCTTCGAGAATAATTCTATCGGCTTCCTAAGTCTTTCATTGGCATTTATAAACATTTGAAAATATTAGTTTGAAGTTTTAGTTGAAGTGTTTGGGTGTATTGTCAGTGTAGCAGCGAAATACAGTTTAATTGTACAGCGTAGTCAATTGTTGTCAAACCCACGGGGAAAACAGAACAAGATTACTTGTCATCTACTGTCAAAACGGAAACGAAAGACTGCTTCAAGAAACTGAGGAATGGCTCAAAATAGAATGGCCCACTGGACATTGTCCTTCGAAAAGAAGTCCCACAGGTCGTCATGTTCCTTGCAAATGTGAAGCATTCAGAGCCTTACAGTTTGTGAAGATCAAATCGTTGAGTGCAGTTTATTGAATAGGAAATTTGAATCTTATTCATAAAAATATATCCTTAGTGTAGGAGTTCACAGTCCACTCTACATTCTTCATTTCAATAACATGAAATACTTACATAAACCTATTTAGGAAAACATTCATTTTTGGAAAAGTTCATAACTTCTATATGAAAGGTGATTTAATTCCTCTATGGCTTTCATGAATTAACTTTTTATGTAAAAATCGGTAATTCATTCGGTCATTTGGTACAAGAATAAACTATTTTGAACCCTAATACTGGATTGAATTCATGTTCATCGTCCCATGAACCCAGGACATGCCAAAATGACCCTTTTCAATATACAGTGCATTTCTTCAATGTCCCCCCTCCCATTTTGTTTTTTGAACGGGTCAACTAAAAAAAAAAGAAATTTGGGATAATGCAATTAATGCATGAATACTTTATTTTGAAGTGAAATTGACAGATGAAACATTCAAGATTACGACTGGGCGCCATCTGGGTAAAAACAAAACAAATGGAAAGGGGGGTCTTGTGACACATCATTTTGAAGCTCCCGACGAATGCTTCACAACCCTAGAATATGAAGTCAATATCTTCACCTACTACAAAATGGCGGAACATTTAATAATTTCCTGAAGACAAACACATTAATATCAATATTTCTAGAAATATTCCTTTTTATCTGCTATATGGCAATTCCAACAACCCGATAAGGTTTGTTTTTGTTCATAAAAACGACAAAAAATGTCAGTACGACCATGAATATCATTGTTCAGTTACAATATTCTCATTTAGTTTTTGGTTTTACTAGTAGAAAGGTACCACGTCAACAATCTCTAAAATGGTCAATTCTTGTCCATTGAAAAAAAAATTGAAGCAATTTTTATTTACGGTGCGACGCATAACTTTCACGAGACCGAAAGGATTTTCAATTAACGTTTTCCGATTAGTCCTGTCTGTAGAAAATAGTTGAGGGAACTTGTATCCAAATTGACTATTTATAGGTCGTTCGAGTACTTTCACTTATCCCCTCTTTCCATTTTCCGCTTCACTGGTTCCGTGGGAGATGACCGTTTTGGCGGGAGTTGGCCATTTTTCGCTTGAAGATGGGTTTCCATATGTTCCGTATTTCTACGCTGGCTTGGCTGAATACGTTGTTGGACAACATGCATGCGGCTTCCTTGAATTTTCTCCTAAACCAATGTTCCTTTCTGTGCAAGATCTCAGCTTGGGACCACTCGATGTTGTGTTGATGGGTCCAAACATGGTCTGCTATTCCTGATTTGCTGGTTTCCCCTCGCTGTGTGTGTTTCTTGTGCTCGGCAATGCGAACAACAACAGGTTTATTTTGGTTAATATAATTGTTATTTTCAGCTACTCATTTTCAATTCTTCTTTTTTAGTTATTTCAGGGATTTCAAATCATTTTATATAGTAGACAATGGAAGTCCAAACTAGTGAAATTCATCATGAAATATTGTCAATCACCTTCAAACAAAGGGGAACTGTATTTGAATATGCTGGAAACTACTGTTGCCCTCTCATCACTGAAATCGTCGAAGCGAATCCTAATGAATTCGATATGGATATTGTATTCCAACAAGATGGAGCACCACCACATTACTCCAGACAAGTAGAAAACTATTTGGATACTACTTTTTCCGGTCGTTGGATTGGCCGTCGAGGTCCTACAGAATGGTCAGCCCGCTCGCCTGATTTGACACCTTTGGAATAAAAGGGGGGACATTAAAGACGCTCGAGGATGCTATCGTATACCGAAACACGTCCCAAATGGTAATTTCACATTAAAATATATTTTTTTGAATACGTTGAAACCATTCAATCTCATTGAGAAAAAATGCAAGCAAAACAGTTTTTGGTTAGTACATACTTACTAGTATGACCGCCGCTATAGGTATAGTAATAAAGGAAGTAACTCCTCCGCTAGCACCTGCCAGTGATATGTCGCGATGCACTACTGAATGTGTCATGGATCCTCCCAAAACGCCAATGAAATATGCAGGAATTATTCTCCATGTATGTATGCATTCCATTGGAAAACCCAGTAAGAGTTGAACGAATACGTTTCCAAACAGATGTCCCTCGCTGGAAAATTCATTTTTCGAGTTATTCAATTCAAGAAATAACTATGGCGACTCTTATAAAGACACCATCGACTGGAATACAGAAAACTTAAACTGCGAATATCAAAATTAAATGACAGTCCCATTAATTATGAATGGACTAACCCGTTACTTGATGAAAATTATCAATACTATCCATGATAATGATTGAACAATTTCCACAACCATTCCTTGATAGAAGTGAATATTACACACTGGGCTACGTCAGGAGTGCCACAAGGAAGCCACCTAGGCCCCTTCATCAATGATATTGAAGAAATAATCGAACATTCAAAACTTTTGTTCTTTGTAGGTGATCTTGAAATCTTTATCCGTGTCATCAACAAACAAACGCTGTGAGAATGTTCAAAGGGACCTCACCTCAATTGTCAAAAGTTTATTCGAAAACTACATGTAGCTGAATGTAAATAAATGTAATGCTATGTTTTTTTATCGATCACTTTAACATATTGAGTTTGGTTATAAATAACATCGATGGTAAACTTCTCACAAGGGCAAACATTGTTCGGGACCTCGGTGTTTTTGACACCAAGGTTTATGAGAAGGTTGTCAATAGGGCGACAAAAATGCTGGGCTTTGTGTGCAGGACCACAAGAGAATTCACTTATAAAAACCCTTTATTATTATTTGGTTTGATCGATATTGGAGTATTGCTCATGTGTATGGTCACAAACATATGAGATCCGTGTTAGGACTCACACGTTAAAAGGTTAGACCTCATTAGTCCTTAGCTCGCACAAGTTTCTCAACTTCTGAGAGTTGTCGTTCGTACGGGGGCGACAGCTGATTAACGGAAAAAGAGATTTTTAAAACAGATTTTTCAACAAATAAATAACAAATTTCTAAAATACTCGTATGTATATTATAAATTGAAGATATTTCCAACTGAAAAGGCACACAATATTCATACTGTAACAGAAATACTGAAACTGAGTACTCGTAGAGTTTATGCAGATTTTTCTCTATCTTCCACGAATGTTTTATATTTGTTGACTAGTTACGGTCATTCACCATTTTCAAAACTAACTAAAGTCTATCCAAATCCAAGATAGAGTAAAACAAAACAAAACCGAAGCGTGATGTTCACGTGATCGCCCAGTGTCAGATGGAAAGGGCAGCGTTCATTGGTGAATTCGCCTTCTTGGTACGAGTTCGGTACCAGCACAGGGTTGTAATCAGTCGTTTGCGTGTTTGTGTGGCGTGCGTTATAGTATATTGTTTAAAATTGTTTTCCAAGATGTCCAGTACAGACACTACTGATGACACTGTGAGCTATCCAGCCAGGAAACGATCCAAAAAAAGACATTTGAGTGTTGAGCTGAAAGAAGTGATTTCAAATGTGTTTAAGAAAGAGATGGAAGAAATTGAGACATCGACTGTCAACGAAGTCGTATCGAAAGTTTCCGATAAAATTGGAGTGTATTGCGCTTCGATTTACAATGTTTTACAGGAATATAAACAAAATCATACATTTTCCAAACCGAATACCAATCAGAATCGTCAAACCATTATAAAATCAATAGATGATGCTGATAAACATGCAATCAGGAGGAAAGTGCAAGAGTAGGTACTTTTTCAGAAATGAAATACCCACGATAGACAAAGTACTAACAGAAATAAATGAAGATGTTTTATTGCCAAGTTTTAAGCGGTCAACATTCCATAAATTATTGAAACTAATCGAGCCACTGATAATTCAGATTGGTGAGGATGACACTACTGATGAAGAGACAAATTCATCCAGTTGAATAATTTTGATTAATATCCCTTTTGATTTTACATAAAATAAAAATTATCAATAGAGAAATAATTACGTCTCTTTTCATATACTGCTTGAGTGCGCTGTGAAAAATCCAATGAAAAGCTTTTTATATTACACATATTATCTGCATTTTCCCCGTTAAACTGCAATACTTGTGCATTTCGCTCGTTATCATAAAAAAGTTTTCCTAAGTATGATATAGCATTTGCGATCAACAAGATGTTGGTTCTGAATACGACCCCGGCCAATTCTTGGGATTTTCAATATCATGTACGTAGTGAATGTCAATGTTTACATCCACTCTATCTTAGATTTGAATTTGCTTTAGATTACATTCAAATCTGAGTAATTTATACCTACATTGCCTATACTATCACAAATAATTTGGTACCTACATTGTCTATACCTGGGATAACCTCAATTAGTAGCAGTATATCGATAAACATAACAAAAACAGAAATTTTTGATAAAATATAGGTTTTGGGAACTGGATTATAGGTTCAGGAGAGATCTGGTATATATCGAGTAGAATGTGGTGAATGCCCTACCATATATACAGGCCAAACTGGTAGAAATTTTGATATAAGGGTACCATGAACATGTCATTTCGGATAAAAAATTATTAATGTACGAACATCTTGAAAATTCATAACATAAAATAAATAAAGATAATTTAAAAATCCTCCACACATGCGAAAAAAGGAAAATGATGAATCTGTTGGAATCTATGGAAATAAATAAGTCAAAGAAAAATCCCAATTATATTATCCTCAAGGGACGATTTGATACCCTGACGTTTTATTTTTTGATGAGCAGTTTTCAAAAAATAACGTTCTAAACTTACATAAGTATTTAGAATTTACCTGTTCTGTTACGTAGGTAAGTAAATTCACTTTATTTGATTGAATTAACAATTTCGAAAATATGTACTCACCTTGAGTGTACGAAAGAATAAGTTAGATAACGGTACATTTCATATTTCCTGCAAGGATGGAAACTCAGTGTACAATAGTAGGGGCCATGTTTTATATCGGTTTTGTATGACTTATTGACGTAGAAGAATATTATCTGAATAACCGATAATACCAACATCCGAACATTGGTTTTTTTCCATGTGAACTTCTTTTCGTAAATTCCAGTTTGTGTCAAAGTTCGTCGCAGTTCAAATCTCCCGTTTTTGTTTGGCATGGCAATGAACTTCAAAATCCTAGAACCGAAGAAGGTAACAAAATAAGTCAAAGTTTGTTTGTTTCGAAAAACTACTCAACTACCCTCTTCATTTCGATCAAACTTATATTTAAAAAATAGGAAGAGTGACTGTATATAACTTGGATAGTCGTACTCAGTGGACATTATATACACCGACTTTGAACCCTAGAATATGATTTTGGTTTACATCCCAACCTGATAAAATTTTTCAGTTCATACCTATCTAATCAAAAACAAAGTGTTATTGTGAAAGGGCATAAGTCCAGTGCATTTATTGCATCGTCGGGAGTTCCCCAGGGTTCCAACTTGGGTCCTTTGTTATTTATTTTATTCATCAACAGTCTTGTAAAAAATATCACATCATCTTGCTACTTGTTGTTTGCAGATGACATATTCAGAAGAATATCAACAGTCGAAGATTGTGTACATCTACAAAACGATATAAATAACATCGTTGAATGGTCAAAAAAGAACAAATTGTTATTCAACGTTCAAAAGTGTAATATTGTGACCTTCTCCCGAAAAAAAGTCAGTATAACATACAGCTACGAGATGGACTGTATGAAACTGAACAGAACTCGAGAAATAACAGACCTTGGTACTACTTTTGATTATGAATTATCATTTAGATCTTATATACTGAATGTAACAAGGCCTCAAAGATGTATGGGTCTGTAGTTCGCAACTCTAGGCAATTCAACAATATTACCTTCATCAAACATTTTTATATCACTCTTATCAGAAGCATTTTGGAATATGCTTCCATTATCTGGTGTCCTCAATATAACTGCCACAAGTATATCATTGAAAGAGTTCAAAACAAATTCCTAAGATATCTTCACTTCAAAGAAACAGATAACTGTGACCTTGATATTTCCAAATTAGTGCTACTTGAAAAGTACAACATACAAACTCTCGAGAAAAGAAGAGTATTTGCATACTCAATATACTTGTACAAGATGATACATGGTGAAGTGGATGATCCCTGTCTTCTATCAAAAATCAATTTCAATGTACTTGCTTATGAAACTAGATCGTTACACTCATTTTATATTGAATCGGTAAGAACAAATTATTATCAAAATGCCCCATTAATGATTAAAATAAAAACTACCTAACCGAATCCAATTGTTTAGGAATATATTACGAAATGATATCTACCTATACCGTAGGTTCTGATAAATGCCTGCCGGAAAACAACTTCTTTCCCGGATAATACCACGCTGGACAGACATTTATGCAAGATACCTCACAGAGGTTAGTCTCGCAGATGTTTTTGTTAATCCAGTAACAGGTTCATGCTGAAATTATTCGTCTAGATAACCTACAGACCGGTTTCGAGGTATTACCTGCTGGAAAAATCCAACCCAAACAACAGTGTGCCTAGGATTCAATTAATTTCAACGCGGCTAGACTCCATGTATCTGTGACTTACAATTTTCTCTATATATATATATATCTACAGAATGGTTGGTTTAGGTTAGGTCGAAGTGAGTTGGTCTATTCTACCCTCCACCGCAACCCGTGAGGGTTGATTGTGGCTTTGCCAAACTGTGAAAACTTGATTCGGTCCACGGCGGGGCAGGCACAAAGTATGTGCTCTGCTGTTTCATCATTTTTCCAAACAGAGGCGTCACACACTGTCTTCTGACCGTCCGAGTCTCTGTATACGACAGTGACCTGTGAGAAGGCCTGTTAGAAATCTTAGTTCATCCTCACTGTAGTCCAACAACTGGTTGGTTTCAAGCTCAGAAGGGTAAATGAACGCTTTGGAGAGAGACAATCCTGAAAGATTTCACAAGAAGTCCATAAATCTTCTTGCCATCTAGATGTTCAATGTTTGTTTGGCAAAACCAATGACAGGTTCTGGTCCGATGGAGCTACTTGCAGCACCCTCCTTTGCAAGGGAGTCAGCAGCCTCATTGCCTTCCAGGGCAGTATGGCCAGGCATCCTGACCAGAAACAATTTGTTAAGTCTTCCTATCGAGGAGAGTTTTTGTCAATTTTCGACCAATTTAGATGTTGCTCGGTAGGAGCCAAGAGCTTCCAACGCTGTTTGACTTTCCGAGAATATTTTATTGACTTGTGTATGAAGTTGGATTCTACCAATCTCTCCGCACACAATTCAGAATGGTTTTCACTATCTGCCTGAAAATTATTCAAAATTATGTCCAATGTACTCTAAACAGTAACAAAATCTGTTCTTGAACTTGAACTCAATAGTGATTGAGACATGCTACGTTAATTCACCTTTCATAAGCATAGGATGTCTGTCTCCAAAGGAAAACTTCAAGGAAGTTGAATGCTTTTTTCATTCTCTTTTAAAAATAAAAAATATGTGTGTTTGCGTTACTCCAACAGGAGATTTCGTTTATTTATATTAATACTAGCTTTTACTCGCGGCTTAGCTCGCATTTATGCCATTAAATAAGTGTCAGTACAATATAAATTAATCAATATTTCAATGCTTGGCTGGGATTATCAATTTTTTAAAATTATTACCTAGCCTAACCTAATCTTACCTAACCTAACCTACTCTACTCTACTCTAACCTCGCCTTACCTAATCTAACGTATCCTAACCTAACCTATCATAACCTAACCTATCCTAACCTAACATAACCTAACCAACAAAGTAGCTGGATTTTGAGATTTTTTCGACAAACAATTTTTGTATCTTACATAAAAAATAGTTTTGTTAATGTTACTTCTAATACCTCCAAGAACATGTTTACAAAATTTCATGATGATCGGTTGAGTAGTAAAAACGCGTGAAACCGTAACAAACAATATTACATTCTCATTTATAATATTAGTGGGGATTCAGAAAAAATGAACAAATATTCAATAAAAAATTAGGGTTGGTGTTGACTAGGAAGAATTAGGTTTCACGCAACTGTACCTATTCATTTATTGAAATAATTTTCATACAGCATTTTATAGGAATGAAATGTCCTGGAAACTTACAAGTGACTTTTGACATCTTCTCCAATACGGCTAATTGGCGAAGTATTCCTAGCAGATATAACCACCCTCTTCGCTCATTGTTCAACATCAACTCTTTTCCAGAGGGATGGTGTTTTTTACGAACAAGCGGATGGTACCGCAATGAACAGCTCATTTAAGTCAGGCGGTGGCAAACTTTTTTATGGAAAATTTCGAACAACGGGCCTTAGAGCAAGCGACCATAAAAGAAGGTTTCCTGCAAGTGGCCGTTGATGGATATCTCTTGAATACTTTTACCATCAACGCTGGGGTTCCTCAGGGATCCATATTGCCTCCAACCCTCTTTTTATTGTATATCAACGATTCATTGGAAAAAACCAAGAATTCTATGTATTGCTTTGCTGACGACAGCACACTTGTCTCGTCATTCCATTTGGATTCCAGGACATCGGCTACGAAGGCACATCTTCACCGGCAGCAGGAGGTTGCATATCTTGCAAGTGATTTCGAATTGGGGTGAAAGTAACCAGGTTCAATTCAATGCCACGAAAACCCAGACATGGGTTTTCTCCAAAAAGATAAATGTCTCCGAACCGGATATAATAATGTCAGGATAGACAATCATGACGCTGGAATTGCAAAGGCCATTTCAGAAAAGCTTGCAACACTGTCCCGAAAATCAGAAATCGGCCCACACCTCAACAAAGGAACCGCTCTTAGATAGCCTAAAGGATTTCCCTGTAGTGCTTGTGTTTGGCCCTTAAGGACGTACCAGAAAGTGCATATCAAAACTGCTTCAAGGATTGGCAAATAACGCGGGTATGAGAGTATTATATCTGAGGGGGGATTACTTTGAAGGGGACAGAGTAGAAATTGATGAATGCATAAATATTCTTCTTTATTTTTCGAACAAACCCCATATCTACAATCTAACTCCCAAGCTCACAGATTCAGCATTTCTATCATCCCAATTGTTGAAGTTAATATATTTTATGTAAATCAATGCGTTGCCAAAAACTTCTGCAGGCCTGTTCTGATAAATTCTAAGCACCGATGGAAGCTGTTATTTGAACTAAATAATAATAGTTTTCGTCAAAATGCACGTTGGTTCCGACTGGGTTTCAATAAAGAGTTAGACATCGAAAGTTTTTCAAAAATATCCAAGTGTTTGTATTAACCTAGTTGTTATATCTATTGAAAAAACTATACCTAGTTGCAGTGTTTCGAAAAGAACCTATGAACAAAGGACTATTGACCATCTCCAGGAATTCTCTGAAATCGAGTTGTTTGTCTTCGTTTGTATCAAAATATAGGCAAATGTTTTCAGATAACTCTTTGGATATTTTGGTGTTTTCTTCTCTTTCTATGAAAGCCTTGAGTTCTGATATGCTAATGAACCCATCGTTGTTAGAGTCACACTGAAAACCAAAAAACGTATTTTGAAAAACAATACTATTATCAATAAATTTTGATAATGGGTGGATATATCGAAGGAAGCTGGTGGGAAGTCATGAAGATCAATCAATAAATGCATCGAACTATTTGCAAATATCATTAGGTTGTTTCAAAAGTTTTTTCCGATTTCATGAGTCCACTTTAATCTGTAATATATCAGTGAATACGTATTCAATTCAATCGAAATCAACGCATTTCGAATCAGTTCACTTTAGTCAACGTGACAACGTGCTCGGTATTCGATGAAGTCAACGACGACCGTTTTCGCCTGGTCCTGTTTGGGAAAGATTCTAAGGTTGAGAAAGGTATCGAAGTGCTTGAAAAAATGGTAGTCGGTTGGTGAGAGGTCTGGGGAGTATGGTGACAGAGGCAAAACTTCGACGCTCAATTCATTCAATTTTCGGACAATGATTTGTAAAACGTGGCCTCCTCTGTTGACCAGTACCGGCTGCTGACGCTATTTTTGATATAATTCGATGATTCTCTCACAACAGCGGCTGACCACCATAAAATAATAATGTTTTTCTTTGTGGGTTTTCGCCTTCGGCAAGTGCCTGGGTGGCTCATCGGTGTCCAACCACTGCCCATAGGTGAACACGTTAAGGTACTCTGCACACAAATTCACAAAATAACCAATGGTAGCAATAATTCTTATTGATCTTATAACTTTAAAGCCACCTCATATAGTCCAGTTCACATGTACTTTTTTTTGTAACATTTTTCAGCCCTGTCCAAAAATTACGACCAAGGTGTCATTCGATTCGTATTTTTGCCTAGAAAGTTTAAGGAAAGGTCCGAAAACGCGCTGATAAAAATTACAAAAGTTATAAACAATTAAGTGAAAAAAAAT